TCCACCCAGGTTGGGAGGTAAAGCTCTGTAGATAAACTTTTGAACTCTGGGGCTGCCCTGACCAGGGACAGAGACTTTTGGGTCATTGGACTTTTGGGACTTTGAGTGATTTGGGGTTGCTGGACTCAAGAACCAAAGGGAAAGGGCATGCCCCAATTTGCTTGGGGTGGATTTTTTGCTCATGGGTTGTGTTATGAATCCTGTTGGTGGTGTTTCCCCAACATAATGCCACATTGTTTCACTCTGTTTTTAAAAGGCTTTTGCTACACTCAGACTATGTGCTTGCGAGAGGGGAAGTATTGCCTCTTGGAGGTGCCCAGCGGGGGTGGTATATATTTGTCCTAGGTCACTGGGTGGGGGCTCGAGACAGTTTGCATTGTGTTATTGGAATGGATCATAGAATCATAGAATATAAGGGTTGGAAGGGACCCCAGAAGGTCATCTAGTCCAACCCCCTGCTCAAAGCAGGACCAATTCCCAGTTAAATCATCCCAGCCAGGGCTTTGTCAAGACTGACCTTAAAAACCTCTAAGGAAGGAGATTCTACCATCTCCCTAGGTAACGCATTCCAGTGTTTCACCACCCTCATAGTGAAAAAGTTTTTCCTAATATCCAATCTAAACCTCCCCCACTGCAGCTTGAGACCATTACTCCTCGTTCTGTCATCTGATACCATTGAGAACAGTCTAGAGCCATCCTCTTTGGAACCCCCTTTCAGGTAGTTGAAAACAGCTATCAAATCCCCCCTCATTCTTCTCTTCTGCAGGCTAAACAATCCCAGCTCCCTCAGCCTCTCCTCATAACTCATGTGTTCCAGACCCCTAATCATTTTTGTTGCCCTTCGCTGGACTCTCTCCAATTTATCCACATCCTTCTTGAAGTGTGGGGCCCAAAACTGGACACAGTACTCCAGATGAGGACTCACCAATGTTGAATAGAGGGGAACGATCACGTCCCTCGATCTGCTCGCTATGCCCCTACTTATACATCCCCTAGATATTGAACCCGGCTCTTGTTGCTGCCAACTCTGACGGGCAGAAGGGTTACATTAAGAAGGTGTAAGTAAGGCAGGGCTGGGCAAGGGAACTCTTCTCTATGTTCTAGAACTCATGCCTCCTTCAGCTCCTTCCAATGCCAGTACCACAGGCTCATGGCTCTGTGGGCAGGGCCCCAGGAAGGAGAGAGATAGAGCTTGCTTTCCGCTCTACCTTGGAATCTACAGCTTTTCAAGTTTACCTAAGGATCACCCTCTCAGGGCATCGTTACCTCTCAATGGCAGACCAGAACATGGGGCCACATGCTGCAGACTGCAAAATGGCCTGGTATTTGGTATCTAGTATTTGAAAGTTGCACTCTGCTAAGAGCAGCTATGAGCATTTCCCTTGAAGATTTGTTTAAATATCAAGGGTATTTATGTACATATAGGAACCACATTAGAGTCTAGAGAGTAGAGTAACTAGCCTTGCCTGGGAATAAACTTCAGCATTCACATATCTACTGCTAGGTCAAGATCCTTAAGGGGCAGGAGTTGCATCCAGCTTTGGTCCTTAGAACAGCCCCAGGCAGTTACTGATGTCTTTAGGATTCAGTCTCTTCACCACAGTCAAGCTACACATAAGTGGTGAAGAATGCTGCTGTGACAATTTCATGTCTGCTACTAATTGTCATCTTTGCCTTTGATGCAACCTTTTCACATGAAACCTTTACATTCCCCACTCATTCTCTCCAGGAAAAGTGTGTTGTCAGGCATCTTTAACTTTTATAGGCATATAATCAAAAGCTTATAATCATCTCGGAATGTGACTCAGAGTTGTGCATATAATTTGTTGCCAACTCTTTACAGTAGCAACAAAGGGAGGCTATTATATGATAACTTAATAACAGGCATCTTTATGCTCTCTCTGAAATACAAACAGCAATTACGTGCATTTGCACTGCACAATAGGATTTGTTGTACTAGCGTCTTGGGAGAAAATACGGAAATACCCTATTGCCCTAACCTTCAGGGCTCATCATAATCCAGTATATTCACAGCAAGAAATACTGATATTTTCTGTATAAGAGTGGAGTCCAAATAGGACCTCTCTCTGGGCCAAATCTGGCAACATGTGACTGTATGAAAAAAGTCTCTAGAAAACATGTGCCACCACCTTATTCCGAGTACATAAATGGGCACTTCCTTAGCAAACTATAATAATCAAAACAACACATTCAAGAGTCATCTCTTTTCTTAATGTTTTCCTCGGTAGATTTTCCTTCATCTTTTTATAAAAAGAAGGGAGGTGGGAAAAACAAACTTGCGATAGGTTATTGGGATTCTCTGACTTTTCCCCATTTTAGTTTCATTCCATCAGACCTTTTCAATTTTCATTCTTTTTCCTTTATGCTTACAATATTTTCATCCCTTCTGTCCTTCCCTCTTATTCTCTGAGTTGCCAAACTCCAAACGAAACAAATTAAGGGTTGAAGTTCTTTCTCTTTTACCACTTTCCTTTCTGCTCACTCCACAGTTTCTTCATCACATCACTTCTTCCCTATTATAAAGTTCCCCTCTCTCTCTCTTTTCTTCCCTTCATCCCTCTGTCATGGGGTGCAGCACTCACTGCTGGCCTGGAGTCTCCTCCTGGTCACTCTGGCGATTAATTCTTGAGGTTGACGGCTCTGTCTGCAGTTTGCCCACTAACACACTCTCCCCCCCTCTAGTCTGCAGCCCTTCTCTCAGCCCCAGGAACTGCAGTGTCTTCTTTGTGAGTCAGCCCTCTAGCCAGATCACTCAGCGTTCGCCCTTCCGGGGTAGCAAAATCCCTTCTCCCTAGCAGTTCTAGGAAGTCTTCCCTTCCCTGCCTCGGTGCCACTCCCTCAGTGGCTGGTAGGAGAACCCAACCCCACCCTCTACTCTGGGTTCCAGTCCAGGGACCCACAGCTCAGCAATTCTGGGCTTTGCCCTCTCAACCCTCACTGCTCCTTCCCTGGACTGCTTCCTAGCACACCTCCTTCCCTTTCTCTCTCTGGGTGTACCAGCCCCAAACCCTCCTCCTTTTCCCTAGGGAGTGACTGCTGCCTGCTTTCCTGAAGCCTTCCCCAGCAGCCCCCGTCTGTTGCCAGCTACCTGTCTTTATACATGCCCCACCTGTTCCTGCACAGCTGAACCTGTTTTTAATTAGTTCCCTGCTCTCTAGCTCTTCCTACAGGTGCAGCCTGTGGAGTTGATAGGACTGAAAGGGGTTAAGGTGGCCGGGCAGGCCAGTGTGGTCACCCCATCCCACAACTCTTCCCATCACTCCAGTAATCTTGCCCTCAACTTTCCGTTCCCCTTACAGCACAGAAAGCCAGCTACTCATTCCTTATTTTGGGTCTTGGGAACTTCCGTGGTCCTCCAGCACCATAAAAATGTGTTAACGCAAGCTATACAGATGTTGGTGCTCTGAAGTTAGCTTGTCTAAGCTGGCCCTTTGATTCCAGACACCCACACAATCCCTCAGGAGCCAAAGAGAATAGTCTTTAAAATCGTTTTGCAATTCCATTACTCCCATGTAAGGAAGAGAATCCCACACAGGTATCCATGTTCATGAATAGTGTACAACAGTCAGGAGGTCAGAGCAGGTGGTTTGTGGGAGATGCTTAGAAGGTGGATAAGAACTTTATACAAAACCTGTAACAAAATTACAGGTGAGAGACTAAGAATGAGGACAGCATCTGCTCCTCCCATTGGTATAGTTCTTGGAGAAGGGCTTCAACGTGCCAGATAATCTTGGATGTATTAGTCTATTGGCCATCCTGCAGAAATCCAAGACCAGCTGGAGGAGTCAAATGGAGTCCACCAGCATTTCCATTAGAATCGGTTTTTACCCTCATAATTCCATGCCCCTTGGAAAGACCATGTGCTCTGCCAACTAGGTAATTCACAGTATTTTGCTTTAAATTGTTACTGGTACAATGCTAAAAATCTTCTTCTTCCAAAAGCACTTGGGCAAACTAAAACCACTGTCGGAAACTCTGCTCACTTTGTTCCTCAAAATAACATCACCCTAAAATGTGAAATTCACCCTGTGGCTGGCAGCCAACACAAAGCTATCTTCATCATATAACACCATGTTGTGGCTGCATGAGAGGGTAGGGGAAGTTGGGAGCCCTGCCTTCCTGCTCTCTGAGATTGAAATAACTGTCCCAGGGTGTGGTCTATAATGTAGTCTCCCGACCTATTTGTGCTTTGTACTTGTGGGTGAATTTAATCTCCCCAAGTCCTTTCATGCTTCCCCTCCGGAAGCCAAGTAACTCAAGCTTTACACCACAAATGTCATTCTAAATAAGCAATTTGCAAATTAATGGTATTAGAAAGTGCTAGATTGTCCCCTCCATTCCCATAAACAAGAGGTGACCCAGACCTAACGTTTCTGAGCGGGGTCAGCTCCACAGCATTGTTTCCTTTCTCTGACCTGACAGATGCCACTAGCGAAATGCTCCACAGGGAACAAGCTGTTCAGCATTACTCTCCACTCCTAAAAGAGGGAGAAATGCTGGTTAAGGTTGTAAGCTGCTAAGGGAGGAGGGGGGTCCAGTACCATGAGACCTGCCACTGTGGAAAACTTCCACAGCGGTGACTTGGAGGAAGCAGTTGCCATTAATACCTGGGCAGAAAATGCTGCTAGGAAGCATGGATGTCCATGGTATTCTGTGCCAGGGTCTGCTCCTCTCCTGCTGACAAAAATTCAAAGGGCACTCCAGGCATGGGAACTGATTGTATTTCCTTTCCCCCCCTCCTGGCTTATCTGGTATGGCCCAAAGATCTTAAATAAGGAATGTGGGAGCTTTCCATCAACCAGTCAACTGATGTTCCAATGATTACTATAGTATAAAAAGCATAATTTTCTCTAACTTCAGTGTAGAATTATCCAGAACTAAATCAAAAGGTGAATTTTCGGTATGCTTAGTTAAAGCTCTAACTAGTTCACTTGTCTTTATAATGTCTAAACTGTTTAATAAGTAATGCAAAATCAAAGTAAGATTTATGGTTTTTTATTAAGACAATCCCACAGCTGGAAAAATGAAACATCCTAAATTACATAAGTGACTTCAAAAAAACGCTAGAAAAAAATCTTTACAAATTTACATTTTTACAATACAAAAACTAACAGCTCGTTGCATATAAATATTACATTTGGTCTGCCATCAAGTGGCATTAAAAATCCCTGAAGTATTCATTTAAAGGGACCTGAGATAGCGGATGCGAAGATATGGGCATAAATATCCCCTTGAAAAATCAATACAGGAACTAGACATATCAGTTCAAATCAGTTTTGTGCATTTTTGGTGGAGTATTTTAAACTGTTAAGAACACCGAAATGTGCGAGGCTAGACAGCACCATTTCATTGTTCCAAGCCCCTCAACTGTAAAAACTGATATTTCTAAATGAAGTCTGCTGTAATGATTCTTATGTAAAGAATGAATAACTTATATTAATATTCCTAGGGAAAATTTAAAAAATCAGCCTTAGATATAGGAGTATGTTGGGTGAATGCCACTTACTGAGAAAGCATTTTGAAAACCTAAGTGGGGTATCTGTTGGTCAAAAAAAAACCTGTAAAACCACTATGAATGGTAACACCATATAGCACAGAAACACCAAATGTATCTTCCATTCAAACAGACCCTTTCGCTCTCTAACACTTCAAGCGCTCTCCCTCTTGCACTACCCTTACCTTCACAAATGTTTAATGCACCCAGAAACTGGGAAGGTATGCACTATCTTCTTATTTATAAGAGACTCGGAAATTGTTCTAATATGCCTGGAAGTTTAAATATTTTATGATGAAATCACAAAGCATAACTGTCCTTATCTATCTAGGAGCATTAGTTTGTTTGCATTTTCAGCATCAAATGCTGAACTTAAAAGTTCCCATTTAAACACTTATCAGATTTGAGGTACCCACATCCATGCATATATATGTAATAGCACCATTTTCGTACTAGAGTTAAGGCTGTGACAGCAATTCCACTGGAAATCTAATTTTTCAGGGATTCATAGCAGTTGCAGAAATTTGCTGTGGCCTGAAACATAACATAGTAAAAACGTACAAGCTTCCAACAGGTCTTTGTGTTTCTATCACTAAAAACCAAATTTTTGCAGGCTATTACTTACTTACATAAAAGAGGTTTTTTAAAAAAAATGTGTAAACATTCAATATACTAATATTTGAAAATTAACTACCGCACATGTGCAGTAATTTTCTAGAATACATACTTGTAAGAACACGACAGCTTCCTACATTACTAACTATAAATTTATCCATAGATTGTTAACTGCTCCTTCAGTCTATCAAGTAAATAATTAGCATTTTATAAAACTTGCCATGACAGTTTAAAAAACAAACAAAACAAAACCAAACACACCAAGAAATGTAAACACAAAAATACATTTTAAAAACATTAAAGTAGTGATACAGACCAACAATAGGAGGATACACTAAGTTAAGGCTGATAACATCCTTAACCTAAAACTGGTTTGTTTACTCTGTCATCCTCTGCACAGGTTAAGGGTGAATTATTAGTCTTGAGTGAGTCATTAAATGCATTTTCTCATTTTAATACTGCATGATTTGGAATGTTCATCGAACACATTATATAGACATCTAGGAGCCATATTTTCAAATATTTACCAATATTCATCTCACTTTTAGTAGTCAGCTCCTCAAAACCATTGTCAGAAGCAATACATTTTAATTTTTCTTTCCTTAATTTTTAATTACTGTACATGGATATTTTACCCATCACACACCTGACTTCAATTATATTCAGTATTTATATACTATACAGTTTTCATATTTATGTGCAGAAGAAATAGCTAGGTCTACATTTATTTTTTAATCATAAGGGAAGTTGATTAAAACAAACAGTGTAAAGAACTCAAACTCAAATCACTCACAAGTTGGTTTCCTAACTGTAAAAATTTTTGCCTCCTCTTACTTTTACATATCACAATTCTTGTATTATAAATATGACAGATAATTTTCCGACATGGCTTGTTTTTCAGGTGAATTACTCCTCTCATACTTTAAGAAAACATACCATCGTCTCTCTCCTTTTTAATCTTTGCTTTGCAGTTTGTGAAGTTGTTAGGTTTGAAAGTGAGGGATTATTGCAGACTTGAAGCAGATATAAATACAGATAGGTCTGAGTTAACTTCCCCACCCAGTTCAGTTAATAAACTTTACTTTTGTCCTAGCAAGACCTTGCTATTGTAGGGCTCAAGCCTGCACAGGCTATAGCTATGAGCAATTTTACTTGCATAAGAAGGCCCATTGCTTTCTTCTTGAATAAGTCTTTGCAGAATTGAGCCCTTGGCCCTGAACATCTACTAGTGGAAATGGTCAGTCATTCAGCATATTGCTGCATTTTATAGGGTTTGTTTGTTTTTAAAAAGAGTACAAGTGGGCATAAGTATGACACCAGAAAGGATGTGATATTGAGACAGAAGAGGGATACTTCATTGGGAAGCTTGAGTACACCTCATGCTCTGTAAGTATGACATCAGCTAAAAAGGCATGAATCCTCTTGACACTGACACAAAACGAAAAAAGGGAGTGAAACGTAAATCAGATAGTACAATGATGCATGCTGTGTAAGAACCTGAATCAAGTAGTATAGGTTTCTTTCAGCTGAAAGCACTCATGACAACCCAAGATTTACTCCCTTTTCAAAAACACACACACACTAAAGGCAATAGAGAAAACACTTTTCAGATTAATTGCCTCATGCTATTCAGCTATTTCAGCATTTCAGAATACTTCATGTACCATAAGAGATCTCCCCTACCCTGCGCCCCCAAACTAAACAGATAGATAAGCTAAACCTTCAAAATATACCATGCTGATTGGTGTTTGTGATGCTGAGTTGTAACTGAATATTCCAAAATGCAGGTGAAATTGTATGCTAATCCCACTATCTCAGACACTGGAAAAGAAATACATGAGCTTTACAGGTGTTACATTAACTCACGTTCAGATAAAGAAAACTTGATAATTCAGATAATAGCATGAAACAATTTATATGGGAGGTCAGGTGAGACCTACATTTTTAATTCAAATGGTCAGAACTGGCCTGTACCTTTACCTCAGAGTGTGCAAACAGTACTTGCTCTGATTTGAGTGTTTACACTGGTGTAAATGAAGACCTAAAGTGCAGGACAATGGAGAATCCGGCCCAAGAACTTTCTACATTTCTATTCATTTACTACTAACACTTCTGGAAGGTTTCTTAATAAGCAAAATTTGGCAAGAAAAAAAGCTTGACTTGAATTTACAGGCAAGTGACTTTAGGTGGACAGGTGAGAAAGAACCTACTGTATTCCTAATAGCCCAGCAAGAGTGTCAGAGTTTAAGGGTCAGCTGATCCTGCCGACACAATTCAGGGGAATACTATGGAGTGCAGGAGCAGCAGCATAGGCTGGCTCTTAGGAGAGGACAGAGAAACAAAGAACGGAAGGAAAAAGGGAGGAAACAAAGCCACAAAACCAGAAGGGGATGGAGCAGAGACACGCAAAATAAGGGGAGGCAAAATGGAAGTCTGGGACTGGGTTGAAGGCCTCGTGACAACATATCAGTGTTCAGGGCGAAGCTTGGGCCTGTGTGCCCTGTGCCTGCAGGAGCTGGGCATGCTGCAGAGGTAGTAAGTTGGTATTCAAAACACACAATAATCAAGCACACTCTCAAACATTGAGGCCCCTCCTGTTGAAAGTGTGTGTGCGGGTGAGGGGGGAATCAAAGGAACCCTCCAACACGCACAAATCAAATGTAGCTGCTGGCTGGTGGCTCTATTTGCAGTCCAGTTTCCTAAGGCTGGTAATGGGATGCCCTCAAACTGCAGACACTAGGGAGTGAGACCATTCAAAACTTCTATAAACATTCATACCCATTTCTGGAGAAAGCCTGGTACTTGAATATTACCTAAATATCAGCAATCTACAGCCTGACTAGGGACTTGGTTAACCATTAGTATCTTAAATATATGATCAAAACACCTTCATACACAAGTATTAAAGAGTGGACCCAAACAGAAGTTACTTTTGGTTAAAACTGTATGAATAAAGACATTGCTGACTATTCTGCAATGAAGTCGGAGTGGACAGAGCTCTGTGCCTGCATGGAACCCCATTGACTTCAATGAGGCATTAAATGGGCACAGAAGTTTTGGATTGAGGTCTGAAGGACTGGGTTGCAACCCTTTTGGTGCAAGGGCTATTCTTGTTTCATTGCTCCTGCTGCAGCTATCAGGGTAAAATCAAGTGTCATGCAGCTTTAATTAAGTGGCTTCTAATTGAATTTAACACCCGAGTAAAAGAAAAACTGTCCAACTTACTACAGTTATAATTAATCCACAGAATGAGGCTGAGAAAGAAATCAAATGTCTAAATTGGAAAAAAAAAAAATCCAGATACAAAATCAAGTAAAAATAGCATTCAAAATATAAGTTATTTCTTTCATGCTTATAAAACGGTTTTCATGCACAAAATAAAATAAAATAAAAAAAATTCTCAGATTCTTTACAAAAAGCAACAGCCCTGTTGTTCCAGCACACCCTGCTGCCTGGCTCTGAACCAAACAAGACATTTTAGATGAATACTTACACCACAGCAAAGTGCTGTTTTACTCTTATCTTCACAGTACTTCATTACATAGAAAAGATACATTTAAGAACATATTTAATCTTATTCTAATTGTTGCTAAAAATACATTTAAACTTAGGAAATCATGATTTTTTTCAGGAATCCATGTTTTTCCTCCTCCTCCCCTCTCCCCCCCCCCCAAATAAATTAATAATTACAGTTTTAGCCAGCCGGAAATATATGAATAGCATTTCTTCAGAATCTCAGGACTTTAGCATAGGAATCTTAGCATTCATATTGGTTAAAAAGAACTTTGATCTAAAATGTGTATGATTATGTCTACGAACTTACATATCCATGCTTTTCCTGGTTACATGGACATGAGGACCAATAACTCTAGGGAAGAATACAGAATGTATTCAGAAGAAAATGTAAGATGATAGGACAGGCATTTGTATTTTAAAGCCCAACACAGAGCTAGGAGATCCTCTGTATCCATTTCTTTGTTAAATGGAGCATCTGAGTCATGCCCAGAAATTAGTTTTGGCATAATCAGGTCGACGACTGTAACAAAAAGTTTGAGAGATTTTTACTGTACCATAAATTCAGATCATTACTATATACTACCTAGACTGCTTTCTTCTCCCCACTCCCAAGCCTGATGACCCGCAAAGCATTTGTTCCAGTTACCTTGCACGTGACTAGAACTGTTGCAAAGAGAGATCAGCCTGATAATATTTGTCATAAAAAAAGGCCAGAAACAAATCTATATATGCATGAGAATATACACTTCACTGTCCCCCCGCGTACCCCCCCCCCCCCGCAGGTTTTCCAGAATTATTGACCAACTTTTAAAAGATGCACACTGAGGAAGAAATTTCAGAATTTCATCCCTTACTTATTTCGATTTCCAAACCTCCTCTCTCATCCCTTTTTCTCGTGTAATCAATGATTCACTATCTCAACTCAGCTAGAGATGTCAGCTAGGTGTCTCTTCCTTGCTCTAACATGACAGAGTCCCACAAATCTTTTAACTGGACCCTACAAAGTAGAAGGCTGCAACTCTCATTCTCACTCCACAAGAACAAGCATGTTCCAATTAATTAAACACAGTCAGTCATTCAGCCTGAGGAGCAAGATACAGAGTAATCTCCTAACCCTACATTTCCCTCATAGCATTGCATACTGTATTATTACTGCCAGAATGAGTGCAAGTTATTATTTTTCAATGCAACATTTACAAGGCAAGAGTACAGTACAATGTGAATTCTCTTCTGGAAGCTTGAGCTACAAGGACTCTTGTCAATGATATGAATGGAAACTTATCAGTAATGATACAAAAATATGAGTAGCCAGTAGAGACACGATAGCTCAATTTAGGTTTCTTTGAAAGTTTCAATAATCAAATTAAAAACAGAAACAGACTTTCATTGAATAAGCGACACCAGAAATATGTGAGAGCCCACTGGCTGTTTGCCCAACAAATTACCATCTGCTAAAAGCATATTAGGCTTGTGAAAGCTTTGATAGCTACACTAAGGTTTGTTTCAGAGCGTCAATATGATAAAGAAATGGTTTCTTCACTATTTGAGCAATTCCATCCCTGCTGTACTCATCCTTGCCTCTTCTTCTATAAGCACTGCAGAATAACATCTATTTTAAGTTTCCAGTAGTTGTAAACAGAGGTAGCTGAGCTACTATTAAGACATGTAATGCTGTGAAGAGGAGAAACCTTTCAAATGTTGAAATTAACCCTTTGCTGCACAATCTCTATTAATGCTATAAAAATATGAGAGGACAAAAAGAAAATAGATGCAAGTAACTTTTGCATTTGGCACCTTCTGTCTAGATATTCATACTTCTCAAGTATTCTCTTTTTAATAAAGTTAATGCACACATTAGGACACACCACATCAAAGGTTTGCTACATATTTACAAGGCACCAACCCTTTTCTCACTTTTTACATGAATTACGAACCAACAGAACGCATTTCAACCCCCCCTAAACTGTAGTATAAACATACTTCAGTTCAGCACAATTCATGAAAGTTTGGCCTGGGAAGATTAAAATAATCCAGATCCTTCTTACAATATAGAAATGGTAAACACTTTATAGCTGCCTTTAGGATTGGTGTATTGTGCAAAAGTTATAATTATTACTGTGTATAAGGATTTATGACAAACCATATAAAAACTCTGTAAGAAGGTGCTATTTCTATAATACAAAAAAACAAAACAAAGGAGAGATTTCATAATCATGATTCAAAATGTCATGCTATTATTGAGAAGCTGGAAGCTCCTTGAAACAAAATGAACTTGTAGTGCGTGGGGAAGAATTTCTGTAATTTAAGGACTAATAAGTAAGGCTTTTTTTGACCAATTAAGTGTGGCAATCTGAAGTCTTAAAACAAATGTATACTGGCATAATGGAAAAGCACCACTGTAGAAAGTGAGTGGAGTCCCCCCACAACTTGCTTGGTAGATTTTCTGGTAAAATCCCTGCAGTAGAAGGCCATTGAAGTTCATTTGAAATTTTTCCAAGATTTTTATCTGTCAATAATTCCATCCCATGAGATGGCTGACCCTGGCTTTTTCTGTCATTTTCCGCACCCTGCCCGATCTGGAAGTACCAAGATTCAGAGGATCCTCGGTGTGCACAAAGTTGTCATTATCTGAATCATCATTATATAAAACAGTTCTCCTGCCCTCGTTCCTTGTTTTAATTCGTGGTGGCCTACTGAATCGTCCTCCAAACATATTCTCACCAAATCGGCCTCCAAACAGATTCTCAAATTCATCCTCTGCCATTCGTGCACGTTTGGCTCTGGTTGCTCCTCGTGAAGCTCCTCTACCTCCTCTGCCTCTTCTTCCTCCCCTGCCTCCTCTTCTTCCTCTGCTGCAGCCTCCTCTTCCTCCTCTGCTACCTCTTCCCCCTCTGCTCCATCTACCCCATCTGCCCCATCTACCTCTCCTCCCTGTCCCTCTGCCCTGCCAATTTCTTTTCCCACTAGAAATTTTCCTTTTAATTTTTCTTTTGGGTTTAGTTTGCACAACTTTACTGTAGTCATGATCTCCATCAATGTAATCCTGATCTGTTCTAGAGGTTGATTCAGAATCTGAATCAGAGCCACATCTGCTTTCAGAGCTTGAACTGGATCCTGACTCCCCACTTTCTGATGAAGATAAACCAGGTTTTTCTTTTAATTCTCTCTTTTTCTCCTCTTCCTCTAGGTGTTCCTCCTCTTCTGAGGCACTTACTAACTTTCGCTTGACTGCTATCCGAGGCTCTCTGCTATCCCCATTTGTAAGTGGTCCATCAAGAGACTGATCTAAACAAACACAAAAAAACAATCACTTGTTAACAGTGTGATAAAGTTAAATCTGAACTGCAGCAGTTCAAGGGAAAAATTCTTTTCAAATATAAAAAGGATTTTCTATCAAAATTTACATTTCTCTCAAATAGTTTGTGCTATCAGCCCTCACCAAACATCTGTTCTCTAAGGCCCCAATCAGCATTTCAATACATACTTACTATTACGCATGTGCGGAGTCCAAATGAAATCAATGGGATTACTAAGTACTGAAAGCTCAGCACATGCTTTAGTGCCTTTGCTGTGTTCGGGCTTAAAATATTTCTCCTTTCACAGTTAACATATACTGCTTGTGAAAGTTGAAAAATCACATTCATCCTGGAAAAGTGAAGCCCTACCCCATAACAAACACCACATTTTTGTAAGTGCACCTTAACATGATAGCAATTTGATTTACAAAAACATTCATATGTTGAGAAAGGTGTGTGTACCCTTTGACAGTTTCACAAGAGTGAAACACTTATACCTGTTCTATCACAGCTTTGTGAACCACTGTGTAACTCCAGATAAAAAACAAAAGCCATGAGCTAGTCAGGACATTTCTGTTCAACTTTTAAAATATTTTCCCCCTTCTCTTCAGCTTTAATATGCCAAATAAAATGTTAGCGGTTTCCTAAAAGCCTTTGGGAAACTCCTAACTTTCTTTGAGAATTATCAACTTTTCCCATCTTGGTAACATTTTAGGGGCATTGGTTGAATCTTTGGAGAATATTTATCCCATAGTTTAGATAACAGATTTCAGAATTGTAAAAAATGTGTCCAGAAACATGACAAAGCAGGGAAATAAGCTCAATTTAATATAGCACTCAGGTGGAGAGATCACAAGTACATTTAGCTGTTTGAAACAGCAGGGCTTAAGCCCACTAAGTAACTGTTTCAGCAGCAGGGTTCACTCTAGGGTTGCCAGATGTCCAGTTTTTTACCGGAAAGTCCAGTCGAAAAGGGAACCTGGCAGTGTCTAGTCAGCATAGCTGACTGGACACTAAAAGTCCGGTTACCAGAGTAATCGTGATCAGCCTCCACACCAAGATGGCGGGAAGAGCAGCTGCTGCTCAGCTGCTAATGGGGAGAACTGGCTGACTCCTGGACCCAGGTATTGGCCCCATCGCTGCTCGAGGGGAGATCCAGTCTGCCCCCCTCACCCGTACTGCTGTGCCCTCATTTTCTTGCCCTGGACCCTTGCTCTGGGGACAGACCCCACCCCACTGTGCCCCGAGTTCCCCACCCCCATCACACACACACACACCGCCCCGCCGCTGCCAGTTAATGGTTCCCCCAATTCCACCGCCCCCTCTCTGCCAGTTAGTGCCCCCACCCACAGCATGCTCCATCAATTCCAGTTAGTCATCCCCCCATGCCCCCTCAATGCCACTTACTGCTCCATCCACACCCCCAGAACCCCCTCAATAACACTTACTGCTCTCCCTAAAATTCAGCATTCCCCCTCAATGCCAGTTAGTGCTCCTACAGTACCAGCACCCCGCAATGCCAATTACTGCACCCCCACATACTTGGGAAGTAGGGCAAGGCTACTTTTCTGTGAGTTATCAAGAGTGTCGATTAATACATTTCTATTCAAACAATATTCGGAGATGGCTATTCTAGCGACAGTTTTTAAAATAAGTTTGATTTAAAATACAATACTTTCTTAAACAGCCGAAAATCACTTCCCAGCTTTTCAAAGAACTATTTAGACACCTAAAAAGACTTAATTTCTACAAAAACAAATCTTAGTGTGCATAATACACCAGAAGCCATAAAATTTGTAACAAATTTAGAGATTCTAAAACAGAAAAAAGATGATTATGAGTATGGAAAATGGGCCGAGTAGTTAGCAGCATCTGGCAAATGGTTTGCTGCATTTTATAGCAGAATTACATATGCTGCCAGGTTTGTTTGGCATGATCTTGAGATATTATGTTTTAGCAAGGCATTCTTGTCTGGATAGCTGAAATTTGCCTTTTCTAAGTTTGTGGAACTTCTCATTCACCCTCGCCCTTAGAAAAAACTCAAATTCCTGTAACGTTTGGTATCTAACAACACATAGAAAAGAGGTGGGATAGGCTTTTAACCAAGTTATAGGAAAATTTTTAAACATTTTTTTGGATGTTAATGGCGGTGGTACATCTCTCTTAATGTAGATGCACTTAAATGTGTTTAACCCTCATTTAAATGAGTTTAATTTAATTTAGTAGTTTACTAGTACGTGCTAAACAAGGATTAAATGGGTTGAAGTGCATCTACATTAGGGGGTATCATCTATTTAACTACACAGACTTCCACATTAATTTAGTTAAGATTATATTAGAAAAGTTGTATAGACAAGCCCTAAGTATTAGGCCACAATTCCAAATACATGCACACTGGGTAAATGTCAATATGTATTTGTATAATACCACACTGAATCAGTTCATTAAGTTTGCTTCATTTGAGTTTGCAATCAGGTTTCTCTTTTAAAAATAAAAAAAGTCCCTGAAAAAGCGTGTGGGGAAAGCCTACCTACAGAATAGGTGACATATTTAATGAATGCTCCTAAGGATAGAGGTTTTTTCTACATGATTTTTCTGTGGAGAACTTTGTTGTAGAAAGGCATCAAGTATAAGAAAAAAGTTTTCCAAAAGGCAAAGAACAAACACTTCTTCTAAACCTGTCAAGCTGTTCTAAGTCTCAAAAATCAGCACCATCTTGCTCAATCACACCAGCTTCCTGGGAGAGGAGAGCGAGCAGGGGAGGAGGGGTGCCCTGGGGGAAGAGGCAGGGCAGGGGTGTCTGGTTTTCAGCAATTAGAAAGTTGGTGAACATAGTCCTCATGGAGATTGAGGAGCACACTGGAGAACTGTAGATTTATACCACATATTGCAACGCAATAAGTGTTTGTCTACAGTAGTCCATAGATACCAGAAGCAGATTTCTTTTATAGTAAAACTAGTCATCCAAAGAAAGTATATAATTTCCAACCTTGTTTAACTGGTGTGGATTTACTCCTGACTAGTCTATTTTTCCCTGGATCAATGTTATTTCCACTTCGGTTCTGTGTATTTAACCCGGATGAGGATGGTTGGCCCTCTGTTTCTTCACCAATGGCTGAACCCAGAGCCTCCTCGGTAGTATCTGAAACTTAAAACAGGACATAATAAACTCAGATGATTTCCTTAATCTCTCCTTATACCGACGTGCTAGGGCACTGTGCAAACAATCAGATTTCACAGGTCCAAAATGGCTCAGTCTTTTCTTTAATTAATGCAGAGGAAACAAATTTTTGATACATCCCTCAAGTTTTTGTAAGTTACTAGTGTATCTAGTTTGCATGTAACCTATGCCAAACATACATATATAACCAAAATCTTTAATTATACAGCAATTAGATACTAGCCTTTGATAGATTAATACAACAAGCTTGTTTAAGATCAGCAATAAATACCCCTCAGCTTTTCTTCATACTGCGGTTATTAGGAAGCAGCAGTGGAAATACTTCAGGCACTCCTGTTTTCAGACTTTGGCTTGGCCATGTACACCATTTTTTATTCTACTTACCATGAGATGAAACTGAAGAGCTAGTCCTAGTCAAAGGCAGTGAGGTATTCTGGTTGATTTTAGGTTGCATCTTCACTTGTTTCTGTTTCCCTTTAGGGCTGAAGATATGAAACACCCCAAAAATAGACAAATGTTAACACAAAAGGATTTGAAAAGCAAAAAAAAAAACACACGACACTGTTACCAGATCATCAGTGTAATTCTGATGTTTAAATGTAACAGGGAGCATCTGATCTTTTGTCTCAAAGGTTACATAGCTGTAATAATCAAATACATAACAAAGCAAAAATATTGGTGAATTTATTAAAGGAATACAACTGTTCAAGAACAAGATTTTTATCTTGCTTTCCTACTGTGTTATAGAAATTAATATGGCTTTTATACAGCTCCTTTCACACTTTTATACAGCACCCCTCCCCTTGTTAGGATTACGTATGAGCCTCAGCATTTAAACTCACAATCTGGTCACCCACAGGAGAGACTGTACTATAAAATAAGCCATATTGTTACTTCCTTCTTATCCGAACATTAATTTCCCCCAAAACAGAGAATTTCAAAATAAGCAGATAGTGAGTTTCATTATTAAGTTACCTGGATGCTCTGCTACTAGATGGTGAACTACTACTGCTCCTTAGTCGTTTTCGGTATCGTGGTTTATTTCTCTTTTGACACTGCATGGCCAACTTGTATTCAGAGATGATGTTTTTAATATGATTTTCAAATAAGGCAGATAGTCTAAGCGTCATGCTATAGATCTGGAGAAAGAAGTTATGGCCAGATTTACTGATTGCTCTAACTGTGGAGATCAATTCCATGCAAAACTTCACAGAAATATATCAACCTCCAATATTCCAAAAGCAAAATCCATACCAACAGACAACTGCGAAAATCATAACACGTGCCCTAGTATAAAGAAGTCATCTGTATTCTAGCTATAGAAATCAATAATGAAGTACTTCAGAGTTTATGGTCTTAAAATATAATTAATTTTATTTATTGTACAAACCAAATAGATGACAAACTAGACAAACAAGTAATGAGGTACCCCTAATAAGAAAGGATTAAAACAATTCATTAAACCCCCTGAAGTCTCACGTGAAGTTAAACATCACCCCCTCCCTCCCCCCCCTTTTTTTTTTTTTTTGCATGAAGTCAAGTTTAGCCTATTTAACTAAAGGCTAGATTTTTGATTAGCCCCAATATAGCTGAGAGAAAAGCCTGGTAAGTTCAGTGTAAGTACAGCCAAGGCATCTCACCCTCTGCACATCCAAATTAGCGCTGCCTGGCTCATGCCTCTGGCACGAAAAGGGAAGGGCAGGGACTGCACATCTGATACTCCCCTACTGTGAGTGAGCAGAGAGGAAGGGGATGAGAGTGGGAGGAGCCACAGCTTTACCTCCATATACAGTAGCTAGCAGATTGTATCCAGGTGTATGGAAGTGGTGGGAAGCTTTACCCCAAAAAAGGGTGAGGTAATTTCCTCCACACCAGAACAAGAGGAGAACACTTTAACACTCTGAGGGTTTGTCTACATGGGGAAGTTAGTGCACGTTAAGGTAGAGTATGAATTCAAAGTGCACTAGATATTCCATACTACTCCCCGTGTAGACACTTACACTGCAATCCAAGTGTGCCCTTGGGAGGTTTAGCTTAATGCTTTTTCAAAGTGCATTAAGCTAATGCACACAAGGGCACTATACTTATAGCACTAGCTACTGTAGGCTTTTTCTCTGTGTAGACCACCCTGAGTCACAGCCCATTCCACATGCTCAGTGCGGGACAGTGCACCTATCTGCCACCCAATACTCAGAGCTCAGCCTAACAGCCCAGTCTAGCTCCAAACAGGTTTCATTCTTAATACCTGATGCACATTCCATTTCCTGCATGGCAGTGGTACCTGAAATGGTAACCAGCATTCTTTCAAAATATGTTAAATGGTGGCATTAAATGAGTGTGCTAGGACAAGGGCTTTACTTTTTAATATGCATTATTTTCCTGCATTACTAAAGATCATGCCTACATTGGTTTTGCTTGGCTTCTGGAATCACAGTAGCATTATTGAGTTTCAGCTCTCGCATATATTACCAGAATAAAAACAGCTCCAACTTTAGACAATGTCAACAGATGAATTAAAAGTAGTTTTAGTAACTACACCCGCCAGTCTGGGTAACTTTACAACGACGACATTCCAAATAGAAATAGCATAAACACTATTATTTTTAGCCCTGCAGTGCGAGCCCAAGTCAGTTGATACAGGTTCTCCAACTCACTGACATGGGTTTTTCCTGCAGTGTAGATATACCTATAGTATCTAGACCAGTAGTTCTCAACCCATGGCCCACTTGCGGCCCAATCAGCATGCCGCTGCAGCCCATGTGACATCCTAAGAGCCATACAGGTAGTATATATAGGGTGTGGATGCGGCCCACATACCACAGAGAGCTGCATATGCGGCCCACAATGGTAAATAGGTTGAGAACCACTGATCTAGACTATAACTACAGTATTTCTGAATGTTGTGCCTGAAAGTTCTCAAGAAACTGAGACAGTCACCTGCATGTTCTGGGAGGGCTTTGCAAAGGGAATTTATTATCCTAGGTCCTTAAAATGATAAAGACTGTTCATTTATATTTAAAAATATCATGTTACGACCTCCATCTGCACATTCCAAGTGCCATTCATTCCTTATATGAAAGTGTGATTGAAGATCTTAGAAGAAATGGCCTGAGATGTCACGTATCCATGTTTTTATTGCTTACCCGTGACTTTTTATTAGGTGTGTAAGCTTTAGAGTTGCAGAATATTAAGCGAACATCCTTGTAAAATTCCAGAGGATTGGTGTAATTTCCTGCTTCCAAAGTTTCTTTCACAGTGCTGAAATCCATTGGAGTGTCTACAATATCTCGATAGTCCTACAGAAATAATGTATGTAATATTAACAACTAGGTAAAGTTATCACTAGCTGCCATGAACTGGTTAAGCAAACATTACATGTGCTTTGCTTCATGTCCCTGTACAGTCCAATCTCTCTCAAATTTATCCCAACCCACAAAAACTGTTCCACAAACTCTGTTTTAGGCTAAATCTTCTAGCTACAAGACTCATATTTACAGATTCCAAGGGGCTTTGCTGGCACTCAAGGGTTCACATTTCATCAGAGGTGAAAATGAGTTTAAATGGGCTAATTTATGTTCCTTTATTCAATCACACTAACAGAATGTGTCTGGCAGTCTCTGCTCAAGAGATCGTGAGATGTAGGAACAACAGGAGGGTTTGAAGTGCACTGACTGAGCTCTCTGAAGACGGTGGCTATTTCCTGCCAGCCCTATTCCTGCTCAATCCAGGGCTACAGGTCCCTCATTTTCTCAGAGGGAATTAATTTAGCACTCATGAAAGAAGACAGACTGTGACTGACAAAGAGGAGTTCAGTAATGTATCCAGCAGCATGAAGAATATATGAATTCTTAAAAGACTGAAATATTATAAGAATGTTTTTTTTTTAAATGACAGAAAGTAGAAATATATTTACAGGATAGGAGAAGAGATCAACTGGCTGTCTAAAAGGCTCGGAGTCCTCACGTTCATATATTAGGCTTAACAACTGCTTGCACTGTTCTTTCCAAGCACCAGGGCTTGCTTTGAAGGGCTGCCTTTTTATTGGTCGTCTTACCTGAAGATTTTAAGGGAACAAAATAAAAGCTGTATTTTAAGAACTTTTAAAGTATACAGGTTTTTGTATCTACTGGTCTTGGCTTTAAAATTACTATCAATGTGCTCAGACAATGGTTCAAAATTGAAGTCCATAACTAAAAACATGCAACAAAAGTTGAGTGGTATAACAATACGGACTATGCAATTTACTGAAGAATGCATTTTCTCTTTTAATAATATAAAAATATCCAACTCAATATCCATACAACATTTTAGATGCAAGAGTTGTGGTTCAGAGCTTTATATATTTCGGAAAGGCCGCAATGCCTTATTGGACTAAGGAAAAGTTGCTCATTAATTACCATGGAAAAATAATTGCTTGTTGAACGCTAAACTTAGCTATTACATGTAATATATGCAGCCTTCCTTGGTCATTAATTTAGTAATAGTATGTATTTATAAAGTAAACAAATTCAATATTTTTCTGTCTGAAGGAGCACAAGCAGCTTGTATATTGTTGGTTAATGCTCTTGTACAGATATCCAAAGCATCGGGACAGTAACAGCCACTAAGCAATCAACAAATTATTTCTATAGTAATATAAGGTCCTCGTCCTGCCAACACTTACACATGTGCTTAAACTTAATATGTACAAGCAGTCTTACTGCTGTGTAAAGTTAAGTCTTTGCAGGATCAGGCCGTAAGTGAGGGACTTTAATTCTGTGGACCAACCCAAAGCCTAGAGCATATACTGGACGCAGGTAAGTTATTTACTCACTCTTCTTTTCCCACATGAAGTTCCAGGCCCATCTGAATCTACATCTACTTCTGCTACCTAAAGGAAATGGTAATGATTACGCTCAAACAAGTGTTAGCATGAAAACACAGAACAAAACCAAACTATTACTGTGAGAATAAATGTGTTGGGTAAAATTACTGCAATAAAAAAAAAAGATTTAAGCAAAACTAGAGTTTTTTTTTTACTAGAACTTCCACCTTTTATATTTTAGTATCTTTAAACAGAAAAGCTACTTCAACTCCCTGAGTTTGTTTCTGATGTGTGTGCACATATATAAAGATACCTACACAGAGATATATAAAAAAATTAAAATGGATGGATGAGGTAGAGTCCTGTAAGACCCCAAAGAGAATATACAATGTATGTTCAGTGCTCTTTGATAGACACCCATTTTTAATGGTCTGTGTGTATAAAAACATCTTCTGTATTTTCCACAGTATGCATCTGATGAAGTGAGCTGTGGCTCACGAAAGCTTATGCTCAAATAAATTGGTTAGTCTCTAAGGTGCCACAAGTACTCCTTTTCTATTCATTTAGTTACATACAGGTTAATTTTAAAACAGAACAAGAAATAGCACAGGACCACAAACAGAAAAACACCTTACTTGACAGGTAAAATGCAAGAGCTATTGTACTACAAAAATATGCAACAAAACATATTTTATTAAAATTATTTATCCCACATTTGTGAGGAAGGAGAAAATGCAGAGATGTTTTGTGCTTTTTACATTACTAATATCAACGAACATGTCTAGCACAATACACTTACGCTGGGCTTTTTCAATGAAGCTAAACATTTAAACACTAAGGTCCTGATTGCCAGTCCCCTTCTTTCCACCAAAAAACCTATGGGAGGAAGCTCACAGGGTGGAAAACTCCATGATGATCCCTTGTGGAGATTCTCACATTGTTCTGCAGGGGAGAGGTAGGGTTTGCTGCCCTGAGCAATAAGCCACAATGTTTGCCAAGTAAATGTGGATCCCAGGGTATCTGCAGGAGGCCAGCAGCATCCGTGTAGACGAGTGGCTCTGGCACCGGTCCCAGTGATTCCACTGAGCAGCATTACTGTCAGGGACTCACCCTAATTGCAGCTGCATCCAGGGACCCCCCTCAAAGGAAAATCCTCATTGCAGAGAGGGCTTCATGGAAAGCTAATACAGGCCTATGCTGCGTTATCTTTTCTGGATGAGCTGTGTGGTGCCAGAGGGTGGGGTAAACTGCATTTCCCCGAACTTGCTCACGCTTAGAGGGGTCTGGGAAAAGGGAAGAGGATATGCCAACAATGCCAGACACTGCTGATCACAAAACCACATGGGAAGTATGATTCACACAGACCTAGGAGGTACAGTCCTCCCACATGAGTCAAGTGGGTTTGTGAAGGGAAGCTTCAGGATTTTAAGTTACAGGAGCCCTTCATTTTATTTAAAAAACAAACAAACATGCATTTATTCAGAGAGACAAGGTGGGAGTGGTAATATCTTTTGTTGGAACAACTTCCGTTGGTGAGAGAGAGAAATTTTCAAGCTTACACAGAGCTCTTCTTTAAGTCTGGCCTATAACACCACTGCATGTATTTATTTATACAGCCTACAAAGGGTTAAACTACCTTCAACAAGTTTATAAAATAGCAGCATTTTACAATATTAAAATCGTAGTGATGTCACACAATAGTTCTCCTTGAACACCAGAATCAAGGGGGAGGGAATCTTTCTGGTTAGGAGTTTCTCTCAAACCCATTGAGGACAGGGTAGGAAACTGCAGGGTTTGTCTTACACATTTTCATGTGTGCAAGAATGGCCGAGAGAGCCAGTTACCCCTCTTCCAGCCTCCGCCCATGCCAGTTTCTCTAGTTTCTCTTTATAAGGACTTGGCTTGTTTAATGGCAGTCTCAGCCATCCCCCTCCTTCATCATTTTCCTTCAGGAAGCTCCAGTATTTCTACTTCTTGGTGGAGTAGTGGGACCATTTGCTGGCCGCGTGGCCTGAGGTCACTGACAGGTGAAAGAGACACCAAAGCTTAAAGGGCATTAAGTGCTACTGCAAGGTCACACTACTATAGGTGTTCATGAGATCATGAACATTAGAAGGGAAACAAAGACCCCTAAAAGCCAGTCTTGGCATCTAATTAAAGGAGGAACTGATTTTCATATTTTGGTATCAACTCCGAATGGCACAGACCCTGAACCTGCAAGGTACGCTGCCGACTTAAGTCAATGTCGCATTGTGCGGACACTGTGGTGCTCCCACACAGAGCCCTTTGCAGGATCAGATCTTTATTACAGTAATTACTTGGATCAAGGGGCCCACAGATGTCAACTAGGGAGACTTTCCATTGGCTTCAATGAGGTTTGGAGCAGACGCTTAAACAGCGTGATTTTATTTTTTTTCTGGGGTGGGGGGAGGGGGAAGATTTGTTAAAGGAAAAAAAGATTTGCCACAACAGTGATTAGGACAAAAGTAACAACCACTCCTTTCTTACCCTCCAACACAATCGTTCCACTGTATTCATTCTGGTCTGTTATAAAAAGCTATGAATGATGTGTAATGTTTATTCATTTGGTACAGATGTTCATCCAGCAATCAGTTTTCATTCAAAGATTTGAATAATAGATATATTGGGGAGAGGGGGTTGGAGAGGGTAGATGCAAATGATCATCATAAATGTGTCCCACTGTCAATGGCTCATACACCAGAGCCTGAAAGAACTAAAGGCAAAACTAGGAAGTTGTAGCTATTGGCAGTCACCACATCACAATGGAAAATGCTACCCTGTAATATTCTTGAAAACTGCATTTTTTAAATAGATAAAAAAAGGACAACAGTGTTACAACTTTGCAGCAGTTTCTGTTTATCAGTCATCTTTAAAAGGCAAAACCAAGAAATGAAAAAAAAGTGAAGTCTCAATACACAAAATCCACTATGGTGCCACTTGGAAGGTGGACAGATTGCAGAGAGATGACTGTCCACATGGTTTCTTTGGAGTGAATAATATAATAATGTTACCTCATGCATTTTCCCCCCCACTCTCAGCATTTCCTCTCCATATGAGAGTGAAACTCAGTCACTCAGGGAAGACTCAGATGGCTAGCCAGCCTCAAAGAATCAATCTTACTAAATGTGGAGAGTTTATCGTCCAAGACCATGCCACACTAGTTACATAACAACTATTCTTCTATCAAACCCCAAAGCGATTACACGTAAAAAAAAACCCATAAAAATCTTTAAACTCTGTCCATCTACTGAATAAAAAAAGAGTTAAGTATGCTTCTGATGATCATGCTTACTGCTCTTACCTCCTCCTCTTCATCAGTACTGCTTAGATCTTCTGCTTTCACTTTATTATATACATCCAATATATCAGTACAACTCTGATCCCTGCAGAGCAACAGGACAAGTCAAAATACATTTCAGAACTGGTTTAGAAACCCAGAAATGCTGGCATAAGGAAATACAAAGTACTCACCCAATATAGCGAAGTAAGACATCCGTTACAATTTTGGCTGCTTTAACTATAGGACTTTCTGGCTCATTGAAAGTCCTAGCATTATGCTCGATGTATCGAACCTCCCACATCAATGCTGAGATTCTCCTGAGTGAAGGGTGGGGAAGAGGAAAGAAAAATGTTACTTTCCTTTGGTGCCATAAAACTTAGTTAGAAAAGAGGTAGTCCTTGCAAGCCTAGCACGAAGACACAAAGCTTCTGTTCAGATGGCCTGGATGTCTGGCATTTGCCAGGTTGGCGGTGGCAGGCTCCATAGCTTATTACCTGGTAAGGGAACTCACATGCCAATCAACAATGAAAGGAATTGCCCCAGCTAGAAACAAATGCAGTGAAGGAACTTGGCTGAGTGGTCCCAATGGTAAACGTTGGGCCTCCAAGGGAAAGGAGATGGGGCTAATAAATGTATTATTTGCTGCTGCCCCAAAATCAGCCCAAAAAGTTGAGATGCTACTAGATGAAGGCAAGATTATTGAACTCCCCCTAAGTTTGCTGCACTGGAAAGAAAATCTCAGGCGCAAGAGCGAGAAGAGGCGTGATCAAGCAAATCTGAACGGCTGCCGATATTTGCAGGATGGAAGACACAAGGCAGATGTCTCAGATCAGGAAAGAGAGCAAGGTCCAGAAATCTGGTTTTGTTTTTGCAACATGACCAAAAAAATCAAGACCTATTCTTTGAAGATGGGGTATGGAGTCTAAATCTTATGCTGTAGACCTGCTGAGGACACGGATTATAGGAAGTGGCAATATTCACTGAAGTTATTTGTTGAGTTGCAATACATTCAGCTCACCAGATGATTCTAGTGCAGCGGTTCTCAAACTATGGGTCAGGACCCCAAAGTGGGTCATGACCGCATTTTAATGGGGTCACCAGGGCTGGCTCAGATTTACTGTGACCCAGGACCAAAGCCTGAGGACTTCAGCTCTGGGCATCAGGACTCAGTTTACAGGCCCCCTGCCTGGGGCTGAAGTCCTTGGGCTTCAACTTTGGCCCCCCCTACTAGGGGCTTGGTCTGACTCAGGCTTCAGTCCCCCCTTCCTGGGGTCGTGTAGTAATTTTTATAGTCCGAAGGGGGTCACAATGCAATTAAGCTTGAGAACCCCTGTTCTAGTTGGATACATGATAAAATACACAGGAATTTAAACATTAGATACAAATCAAACTGACCTATAAAATCTGTTTTCAAGTCTCCTCCTGATTGTGGTGAGGTCAGTTGGGTAAGCAACTACAGTGCAATACATGGGATAGGCACTAAGGTCCACTGGAACAGCAAAGGGGTTAGAAATATCTAGAAACAAAAAGATCAGAATCAGTTAGACTCCACAGATGACAACCCTGGCCGTATGGTAATAACAGAATTAGATCCCTTATAAAAAGAAAAATCCAGCAATCATTGGCCCAACAATAAATATGTCTACAGTCATTTTGCTCAGTGAGCCATTCTGAATGCCCACGGGATGCAAATGAATTTCCCCTTGCATGAACTACTATATTTAAAAATGCATTTTTTGTTAAAAGCTGCATTTGAGATTTCCATGCCGGTAGCTGTTGCTGAAAACTGCCATCTCGTATAAACCTTGAAGTATGGATGTCCAACATCAGAAATTGTAAATAGGATTCCTTCCTTGTTTAACAGCATTTAAATAAAATAGTTTCATACCAACACTAGTTAAAACTAATTATATTTTGTTCATTAGGGACTGAGTTTAGCTCCCTTGCTATCATTAGACATGAATGGGAGCAGGATCAAGCCCTACAATGATGGAAGTGTACCTGCAAAGGGTACCTAGAGGAATAAGAGGCTATATCCAAAGTTTTTTGTTAAGTAAATTTCCCCCCGCAAAGAGTCATTTGACATCATGCTGATTTTCTTGATGCTCCTGTAATTTATTTCATGCCAACATACCAAGGGTCAGAAGATAATCAATTCCCTTAATAACTCGTTCACATTCTTCATCTCTGGAATGGGCCCCCCATTCTCCTTCTTGGGGTTTATACAGCAGAGATGTCAGTTCCTCTGGGGACACGGGAACTCCAGCACCAACCTCGTCTGGATAAGCAGCTAAACGAAATGGGAAGGATTCAGAAACAGTAAGCCATTAATGCCATGCTGGTATAATTGTACTGACATGGAAATAATAATTAATTCAAAAGCATATTTACTTCCTTCTGGAACTGGTTCCATGTCCCATGGACTCATCTTTTCTCTTTCGTTGTTGTCCCAGCTATTTAAAACAAATGAAAACCATATTACATACATGCAAATATTTAATTTTTACCTATTTTCATTGATGCATGTAGGGTGTAAAATTTCTTCCAAAAGAGACTTGAAATAAAATGGCAGTGTGATCTTCCCAGAAGTATATTATAGATTGGCCAGAGTCACAAGTGGATCTCAGCTTCCCTTATGATTGGGGTATTTCGATCCAGGGTTTTTCTTCAAGCCCATCTCTAATACATAGAGTAGTGGTCAAATCTCAGCAATGTATCTGCCTTAGCAATGACAACAATTAATAAAACCTAATGTTTGGGAAGATTGTTTTTACAGCAGTCAATAACTATTACCACTAGGGAAAAAAGTCAAAACATTTTTGTAACCAGTGACTGATAAATTAGTATTTTTAACAAATGCTTTTGTCAGATGATATCTACCAGAAAAGGCTGTAATATAATAGCTACAGATCACTTTTGAGAATCCCAGTAGCGCTCCAGAACAACACAATATTTTGGTTACTACTACTAAATGAACAATGATACACAAGGAAGAAATCTGCACAGCCTCTGTAACAGAAAATGGTGCTTCTCCAATTTGGTAGCACACTTTGAGCAAGTCGACAAGAGAGTGGATAATGGAAAAACGGTTGATTTTATTTACTTGGACTTTTAAACAAATCCTTTGACTAAACAGGAGGCTATTAAGAAACTATTTTGTCATGGGATAAGGCACAGTCCTGCCATACACTAGCAACTGGCTACCACCACAAAAACAACACTCCCCCCCCTCCCCCCGACATTCCAAAAAAGCCACCGTAGGGACAAATCCTTGTTTTTCAACGTGACAAAATGTTAACAGTAGGATGGCCCAAAGAACCACACTAGGATGGCTATTTTACACATATATTTAGCAATGATCTGAAAAAGCGGGGAAACAATGAGGTTACACAAATTGCAGATGACTCAAAATGATGTTAGTTAAAACTAAAGAAGACTGAGAAACACTAGAAGGATCCAACAGAACCAGGCCAATGGATAGCACAAGGTTAAATGAAATTCAGTGTTGACAAATGCAAGGTAATGCACATTGAAGGACAAATCTGAACTATTCACACACATTGCTGGGTTTCAAATTAACTGTAACTATTCAGGTTAAAAGCCTGAGTTGTCACAGAATTCAACAATGTGCATGTGCAGCAAACAAAACGTTTCGCATAAATGAATGGAATAGACAATAATACTGTCAGTATTATCATGCCATAATACAAATCAATAGAATGCCCTCACCTGGAATATTGGCTCAGTTCTGGTCACCCCATCTCAAAAGAGATGACAGAAAAAGAAGGGGTCCAGAGACAGGTGATGAAAATTATTAGATGCAAGGAAAGACTTCCATATAAGAAGCAATTACAAAGACTGGGACTTGTTAGAAAGGAGACTAATAAAAAGGAGACATAGATGTATGCAAAATAACGAATAGTATACAGAGGGAATCTAATAAAAACTAATAAAAAGAAACTTTTTAAAAGACAACACATAATTCAACTGTGGAACTCACTGTCACATTATTCAGAAAGGGAATTCTACACTTTTGTAGACAATGAGAATGTCACGGTTACATTAGATAGGATTAATTTTTTTAAAACATTTAAAGCCTCATGCTCCAGCACATAAAAGACAACCATTGTCCAGAATAAAAATGAAACCTCCCCTATGAGCAGGTTATTTCATTACTCCCACTACATGGTTACTTGCACCTTCTTCTAAAGTATTTGGTGCCACTGTCAGAAATAGGATACTGGACGAGAAAGATCTGGTAAGGCAATTCCAATGTAACAAGAACCAGGAACGCAGTGGTAGTTGTCTGGGGCTCTAATTCACATCAAATTGCACTAAAATCCCAAAATTATAGTTTTGGGAGTCAGTAGGTCACAAAGAAAGGGGGTCTGTTTGTTCATCTGAATTTTTTTCCCTTGATGCACACATGTAAGTTACATATAAATATGCAGAGGAGAAGAGACACATAAGTGCTTAGATATATCAAATATACTGCAACTACAGTAATCCTTACTGAACGCTGTAGCACTGGAAGGAACTATCAGGATATTCTGCCTGGAAAGGCTGCTGACTCTCCACCGTTCCAAACCACCAAGCATCATCTATTATACTGCGAAACCTATCCCCTGTAATTAAATTTTTTTTTTTAAAAAGTTAAATTTAGCAATGGAGTAATGCACATAATAATTTATCTATTTCTTATGTAACAGCTAAAACACCTTACTTATATAATAAAGTAAATAATTTATAGGATTCTGTATGTCTACCGCATTCACCACAGCGGCATACAGAGGCCAAAAAAGACCAAAGAAGGGCATCTTTACATTTCTGGAGATTGACAGCAGATTTCCCCTAGCTTATCTGAGCATTCTAGCTTTATAATATAACAGTCGTGATCAGAAATCATTAATATGCAAATTGTAGAAGTGACAGACTATGATTTTTTTAAGTTTAAATGCTAGAAAATAAAACATAAGGTGTTTACATCAAGAGTGTGTTAGAATGCTCTCAAAGAGAGGACTGCACTTGAAAAATAATCAGTACATTTAAAAGTGAACAACCAATGACTTACAAGTGCCTCTTTCATTAAAACTGGGCAAATATTTACATTTTAGATTTAGAATAAAGACAATGAATTGCATCCTGTCCAATACTGGTATTCAGCATGCCAAACACACGGATGTGGTAAAATGGTACTTACCAATCTGCCAGTTCCTTTCTTTGGCTTCATTATAAAACTGATGCAGCACAAGGAAATCAATAACATCTGGCATATCATGGTACCTATAAAATAGCAGAAAACAATATTACTTCTAAACAAGACACTGCTCTCACAGCCATTGTTCTCATGTAATCCCATAGGCAATCTTTTTAGTCTTCAACTACCATTTCTTGTTCATTGCAGGAATGACAACTGCTTACACGAAGCCCTCAGCTGCAAGGAGATCAGAAAAAGGGGATTCTAGACGATTTGTAAGAATATTTGTTTTTTTGGAGAAATGATTCAGTCAGCTACTCACTTAATGGAAAAAGATTCTCCTGTCATTTTGCCTGAGATTGGATCTAGAAATGCAAGCTTCAAGCAGCAGAGTGTAGGAGGTCCGACTTCATATTTAATTCCTACAGTCTTCACAAGTTCTTGTTCCTAATTATCAAAACACAGTGTGGGTCAATATTTATATTATTATTTTATCTCGTTAAAAGCAGCATATTCACTCATATATATGCACAAAGAAAGGTATGTATTTATAAGATTACTTCCTCCTTCCAGCCTAGATACGTCTACCAATCATATGCTTCATTCCTAAAAATCCAAGAGCATAGTGGTCTCTCTAGCAAAGAAGGATGAGAGGGTACATGATACTCCTCCCCCCTAACATATTCCAGAAGGCTGGCCATAATTTGGTTAACTGCACTGGAAAGTGTATTGGGGATGGTGCATTTGTTCTTCCAGAAGCAGTAGTGGTCCCAGGGGGGCATCTCTGGCCAACGCCACAACCTCAAAACCTTTGCACATCAGGAGGCAGCACTAGGAGAAGCAAAGTATGGTCTTTTTAAAAAGAAGATTTAGCATGAGCTAAATGAATGCCTCTGGAAGTGCTAGGACTTGAGGGGCAATACCTGTAGGCATTATGACTCTATAAGGCTACGTCTGCACCTGGGATTAGGGGTGTGAGTCCCACCTCACGCAGACATGCTTATGCTAGCTCTCATCCAATGGGCATGTCAAAACCAGAAGTAGTGTTGTGGTGGCACAGGCTAACTGCTCCCGCGCGTAAACCCACCTGGATCCCATGGGTATGTTTTTGGGGCTGCTAGCTCATACCACCATGGGTACAATATTATTGTTAGTGCACTAGCTCAATGATAACCAGAACAAGTATGCCTACTTGAGCTAGGAATCACACCCTAGTCCCAAGTGTGGATGTAACTTAAGGGGTGTAGTTCTTTCCCATCCCTTTCAAATTGAAGAGGCCTTGGAAGACGCATAGTTGGCCCTAAATAGCCACCACTAATACAAATTTATATATATAGTTGGGATCCCTATTTGTTACTCTCAGGTTCTGAAACAATCAGCAGTATCTGTATGTTCATTCATTCTAAGAATGCTGAAGTGATTGTATTAACGACTTGAGAGTTGCTAGTTCTGTATGAGTTAGAATGCAAGAAAAGGTAATATTTCAAATTAGAGTTGTCTAACTTTTGTTAGTGAAGAATACCATTCTACGTAAACATCTTCCTTCAACTTGAATCTCCTACTGAGTTCCTACCATCAGTGATTGATTGATTGATTGATGTAGGTCATAAAAAAAATCTGTAAAGTTTGGTTTGCAAAGCAAAACTTTTTAAACAGCATTTTTCTTTTATTTGTTCACATTTGACTTTAATGCAGAAGTTAATGACATGATTCACAGATCGTGGAAGTTTTTTGTTTTGTTTTTTTAAGTTGACTTACCCTGAGTTCTATTTTGTTCCATGGTTGTTTTTGCATGTTAACATTGTAAATTTTTGCCTTCCTTACTGCCCGTACATAAGCTTCATGGCCTTGCCTAAAATATATAATCTTAAAGAAAAGAAAAGAGAATGTGTAGATTTCATTTTAGTCATACAGCTGATCCATGGGGTTATTATTTTTTTTTTTTTTTACAAAAAAAGATATCTACAAACAAGGATCATCCTAAATTCTATAGGATATTTCCATAAGGATTATTTTGTTGGAAAACACTCTTATTCTTCCTTCTGAGCAGCATGTTATTTATGTGTAGGCATCTGAAGCATCTTTATTGGCCTAGTTGAGGCCATTTCATCTGCTGTCAATGGGAACACGCACAACATTACCTCATCTCCCATTTGTGGGACAAAGGGTGAACGACGTGGTATGGTATCCAAGATCCACTGGGGTGCAAACCATTCTTCACTGGGTTCACCTTCCATCGAAAGTAATCCACTTGGTTTCTTAAACAAATTACATTACTTTTAGGGAACAAGCTGTAATTACTATTGGCAAGGAATGTGAGCAACTCATTATATAGAACAAAGCTAATTAAATATTATGAGCAAAGCAAATCGTGATATGCCAAGTCTCCAAGAAGATCAAGTGATCACCCATTATCATCAGTATAATGGCAGACTAAGGAAAGAATTAATTTCTTAAGATATATATAACAGGCCTAACAGCATGTTAAACAGCTGCTTCGACAAAAACCAAACATTCTTCAAGAGAAGCATATAATACAAAAATTAAAAATATGGAACTAACATAACTCCTTTAATGTCACAGTCCTTCCACTAACCCTTTGTAGTTCTATTTGGAACATAATTCAAAGTCAATAGGCTCACTTCAGGTGTGAATCTGACCCTTTACATTTGCCCTTTGAGATGAAGTTATACAAAAGGAAAGACGTAAGGGGTGCTAATCACTTGTTTTTTTCTTTTCCATCCTCTTCACCCCAAGATATACATAGAAGTAAAATAGACAGCTGAAAAATTTGACACCTTAAGGACTAAATCCCTCAGCTGTTCCAGAACATCCCTTGGCACAGCTGAGGTGAAACAAAAAGTGGCTCCAAGTCACCTTTGTGGCAAAGATCCTCAGGCTGGCTGGGAGTTGAACTGGCCCCTGGTGCAAGTTAAAGCATATTAATGGCTGCTCTGACTTACTTCTCATTTGTGGTGACTCCAAGTGACATCACACCAGTGGGGACTGCTGGAGCACAGTGAGTTCTGGCCCTACCTCTCCAATCCTCAAAACACTACATCCCTCCTCCTACGCATAGAGCATACTATGTTGGCTTTGCACTAGCCAGGGAAATCCTCAGACGAAAAAGGACCTTCATGTGGCCCTGGTTCTGGCCACACTTATTCAGAAAACACAAAATAACTTGGTCTGTAGTGAGTAAATATAAAGGTCTCTCTCACTAACCTACCTCTTTTATAAAAGTCTGTTCTTTTCATCATCCTAATTATAAATCACTAAAATATCAAAATTACCACTACACAACAATAGCATAACAAAGTTACATATCCAGAATCCTATTCTGTTTCATTTTAAAGTGAATTGTGACTACTGTGTTATCAGTCGTCTTTCATGCATTCTTGTTTATGAAAAAATTTAACTTGAAGACAACCATTGATGAAAGATTTATAGCCGTAAAGCCAAAAAGCCATTAAAAAAGAAAAGCTAACCTTTTTTCTAGTCTGTTTGGGTTTCCTTCGTTTCTCTTCCAATCCTTTAGCTTCCTTTAGATTTTCATCTTCAGAGCTGCTACAGATCTTCCGAGTCGCCTGTCTGGTTTGTCTCTTTGGAGGCTGGAGATTAATTCCAGCATCTGCTGTCCAGTCAGAATATTCACTTGAAGAATCACTGTAAATATTACAAAGTAAAAAGCTAAGAAACAAGATGTCAAGAAAACCATAACTCTGACTTTCACACAATACAGTCCTCGCCCTCATCCTGCAAGCTGCTCCATGTAGATGGGTTCCTGTGACTGTGAGGACAGCTGGCAGGATTAGAACTATATTCACATGAAGTCTATAGAAAGCCTAAATGGTGCATAATTTAGACATTCAGCATACTATTTCAGTTGAAAATTCATATACAAGCCAGAATTATATTTAACATTTGCATCATAGTAATGATTCCACTCATTCACAGAAGGCTGTAGGGACATATTTTATTGCCCTCGTGTTTTCACATCAATTCTTAATGGATTTATTCCTAGAATTTGTCAAAGTTTTAGTCTATATTAGTGGAGTCTTTAAATGTATACTGCTGACTTCCATAACATCACAGTAACGGACATACGCTTTCTGATTTAATATGACCTTTCGTCCCTCCAAACACAGAAGGACAGTATTTTTTAAAAAATTCTAAAAATTATGCACAAAGGTATTTTGACAAATTCATTACAAAGAGCAGAACAGATCTGGCCACTTTAGCACAAAGCAGTCATTCTGTGTCAATGCTATTACTTCACTACTCAAATAATCAACTAACATTTGTGTTTTAGATAACTGACTCACAAATATGAAAACGCTTCATTTTGCTGATCTACTTCATACTAGCTCCTAATCTTGCGCAGAGAACACAAAAAAAACTGTATAGCGGATAAGAAAAAAAGAAGAAAGTCTTCAGACTAAAAAACATTTGGAAGTATAGGTCTTTCACACTGCTTTAACAAAAGGTAAGTGGTTTTGTAAACACTTTTATAATTACTTGGTCAATTTCACTATTATACTTCCTAATTAAAGAGACAAATATTCTGTCCAGAGTGATGGAGCCTGTAAACTTCAATGGTGAGCAGTGCAGAGCACAAACATCTACTAAACAAGGTGAGAATCTCCTCCTTACCTTAATCTCTCACAGAAGTAACAGATTTACTTATTTTATAGTGAAATATTTACTTATTTTATGGTGAAATAAGTCCTAGATACTTATTTCCATATTGTAGTCATGGCTCCAGAAATACCAACCGTCATGGTACGGCTTTCTAAGACTACATAAATCACAAGACAAAGAAGAAATATTTAGGAGGATAGGAAAAGCTACCTGGAACTGCTTTCACTTTGCCATACAGCCACAGCGTCGTCTACAGAGGCATCACTTGTGCCAACTGTTTCATCTTCCTGCATTAAAAACAAAAGAATCATGTTGTTATTCCTGCTGCCACATTTTCACCAAATATTTTCTCTTTCATATTATATATGCAGTAGTATCTCAGAGTTACAAACACCAGAGTTATGAACTGACCAGTCAACCACACACCTCATTTGGAACCAGAAATATGCAATCAGGCAGCAGCAGAGACAAAGAAAATAAACACACCACAAATACAGTACTATGTTAAACAGAAACTACTAAAAAAAGAGAAAGTATAAAAAAAGATTTGACAGTAAGGAAACGGTTTCTGTGTTCGTTTAATTTAAATTAAGATGGTTAAAAGCAGCATTCTTCTTCTGCATAGTAAAGTTTCAAAGCTGTATTAAATCAATGTTCAGTTGTAAACTTTTGAAAGAACAACCCATAATGTGTTGTTCAGAGTTAAGAATGTTTCAGAGTTATGAATAACCTCCACTCCCGAAGTTCTCCTGTATTTGCCTGAAAATATCACGATGCAAACACCCGGATGACACGAGTTACACAACATGCCTCTCCTCACAAACCACTGCACCTTTGATAGTAGCATGGGCTACTAAGGCGTGGGACAACACCCGCCCTCGAGGCATTCTAGAACCAAAATTTTATATATATAAATAAATTTTATATATTTTTATATATATATAAAAAATTCCACACCCCCTATAAAAATGTCCTTTAGGTCCTTTCAACCTCAGAAAACCTGACCCAAAATCCACAGGAAAGGGAAAGGCTGGACGTGGTCAGTGCACATCTGCTGACCCCAAATATATTCAGAGAATTCCAGTTACTGGTACATGACCATCATTTCTCCCTCACAAAGTTGCCTCTGCAGAACAGGTGGAAGAAAAGCCTGATTTGGGGGGGGGGGGGGGGGGGGTGTGATGCACATAGTGTTTAATGGTTCTTGCTTCTACTGAAAGTTTTTGGTCTGCAAGGCAAAGAGCTCCTCCAGTGGAGAGCTGCAAAGGCAGATGCATGAGGAAGAACTTCGTATCATCAAATGTTAAAACAATAAAAAAGTACTTAAAATGTTTCTTAAAAGCCTAAAAGGTATTAATTTCTAATATCTGAAACATATATCCATTAATACACAAGTATGGCCTTAATCAATCTAATAGTAAGCTTTTTCTTCCTGTCAGAATTCTGATAACTATGGTGAGCTTTTAACTGAGCATTTAATTCACATGTATTTTAGTGTTAAGTTACAGAGCAGGAGAAAGCAGTGAATATATACAATATGCATAATGTGTCTTATTTTACATGCTCCCCTTTCCTTGCTGAGAGGAAAAATTACATTTAATCTGTGAAACTTCCAATCCTTACTCTCGCCAATATCAACCACTAACACCAATACAGGATCTTTAAAAGTTGCTGTACAGATGTACACAAAACCAACCTACTTAGTGACATCTACAGTACATGTGCAATTTGAAGTCTACTATTTGCATGAAACACCAGAATAGCAAATGTTAGAAAGCAACGTCCAGGCCAGTTAAATTAACCTAACAACATTTCAAGACTTCCTAGCAGATGATGTCCATAAAACAATCCATTTTAACTAGATTTGAATACTTTTATATTGATATTTCTGCCAATTTAGGCACTGAAATAAAATGGTACATCTCCTTCCCAGACTGATTTAATAAAATAATGGCATGAATCCTAAAAACAACTGAATCAAATCCTTCTTCATAAAGGAAGAGGAAATCCTGAGTCTTAATAACACCTTTTTGAGAACATCTGTCATCAAACCACACAACCAAGGAACATATTGAAACAATTACTTGAGGTGTCATACCTCGGAGGAGCTTTCAGATTCTTCCTTTGTACGTGCATTTTGACTTGCTCCCTGCTGATTGTGTTCAATGGTGGAGCGTGTTTGGTAGGCATGCTGGCGTTTACGTTGGTTTCTTCTCAAAGATCGTCCACTGCCAGGTTGATAATCACTCTTTTGTTACGGGAGAAAAAAGACAAAGATTAGATTTTTTTAACAGTTAAATATATCTATATACACTACAAAAACATGCCATATTAAAAGGACTGGATGCTGTCCAACTCTCAACAGAAAACCAGAAAATCTGGAGTTCGGGCTGAAATGCCATCCCTAACTTACTCTGGCTTGGCTATATTGCTCATATTGCCCATTGTTTTAAGAAGTGATTTGACCCTGAAAAATTGGTTATGCAAAAATACCACTTTCTTGCTGAACAGCTGTTCCCTGTGGTCTTGACTACAAAAAAGAAATGTACTATTCTAAGGACTGTGTGATTCCTCTAGCACACTTGTAAAATACATGTATAAAAATGCCACAAATCAAACTGTGAGATTAGACTTGCTTTCAACAAGTCTCTAAATACTGTTTCAGTCAACACCATTTCAGTACTAGTGTGGATGTAGCTTGCTAGCATAAAAGCACAAAAGGTTCACATAACCTTCCCACTACTGTTCAAGAAGAGAAAGCCTGCCCTCTATTACACCTGTCTAGTTCCAAAGAAAAACATAGGATTGGACATATGATTTTATTGATTACTCAGCAGCAGCAACAAAGCCAGCTTGATTTTCAGATCTCCGGTTGAGTTTTCAGAACTGGCACTTGGAAAAAGAACCTCATCTCTTTTACTTGTAACAAACATGAACAATGTGTGTTTTTTAACAAAGTAAAAGGTCTCCATCACTGAAAGCCCTTTTGGGCAGGAACAGTCTTTTTATTCTGTATTTGTACAGCGACTAGCACAGTGAACTTCTAGGCACTATGCTAATCCAAATAATAAATAATAATAATAATAATGGAGAGGAGGAAGACGAAGACTGAAGTTCCCTGAAAAGGGATCTTATCAGTTGCAATACTTACATACAATGGGTGAAATCCAGGCCCACTGAAACCAATGGGAGTTTTTTCAATGACTTCAGTGGGGACAGGATTTCATGCAATACAGACGTATTAAAAATGGTGTTTTGTATTTTAATTAATGGCACTTTTTAAAAAGCCCTTACAGCAGCGTGTGTGAATCAGTCTTTGAACGATATCAGTATCATCTGGTGGGTGTACAAAACAGATCTTTGATGTGGTATCTTAAACTGGCTGTGTAATATGAACTGATAGAACAGTGCTGTTGCAATTTAGGGGCCTCTGTGCCCGAACACGGGGACTTCACATAGACCCCGGGGTTCATGACAGCAGTTGCAGAACAGAGAGACGTTATATGAACCCTTTTTAAAAAATGAGTAAAGTAGTTACACATATACAGCACTTAATTTGTCAAGCAGTCAGACATTTAAACTATTTTTCAATTTAAAATCTAACATTTGGTCCTCAAATAAAGTCTGTGCATAACAAAAAATGTATTGCATTCCTGAGAGTCCGAAAATATGTTAGGCCCTCATCCTGCAAAAAGAACCATGCGGGAACAGAGCTCCACTAAAGAATAGAAGGCTCCATGTGGATGCAGCATTTGCCCATATATTGCAAGTTGTAGGATCAAGATCTTGGTACCAACATTTTTTTAAATTTAAGATGAACCTTTACTCACTTAAAGGTACTTCACTGTTTCTCTCCCCCGCCCCCGACAATGGTTTACACCTAACAGCAAATTGTTCTGCAGCACAGAATAACTTCAAAATGGAGCTACACATAGGAAAATTAGAAAGATTAAGTAGCAAGGATATTAAAACATCTAGAAAAATTTCTGTTGGACTTTTTTTTTTTTTTGCACAATGCTTAAAATGGTCTCCATTCTTATTTTCCCTTTTCTTCTAATGAAAACTACTCACCCTTTGCAAGGTGTGGGATGGTTTTCTCCTCTTTTCAACAGTGTAAAGATTAACTTCCATATCACCTTTGGCAGCTCGGCATTCTTCCTGAACCCTAAAAACATATGGCAGACATTCATCTTATTCACTAAATCATTAAACAGACTGACAATCTAGTTACTAAATGTGTTTAAAACAGTATTTGCTTCCTTGCTATCAGCTAAGTTGGCATAAGTCCTGCTAGCAACCAGAGATTGTTTTATGTTTGTTTTTAAACAAAGCAAAAAACTCTTTTGATATCATTAGTCATTTCCCTATAAAAGGGGAGCTTGCTGGACGTTTGATAATAGCTCAAGAAATATTTCACTGAGCATGATGATCTATTAAAATTTTAAAAAGCTGCACTAGGAAAAAAAACCTTTCAAGAAAGAGAACAGTCAAAATAAAACTGGCCCCAAAAAGGTAAGAATAGAATATCTGAACCAGCAAAGGAGGAGTTAAATAACCATAAAGGTAAGAAATTACCATTCTCCAAATTCCCAAGCAGAATATAACCCTAATTATTAACTCTAAGTCTGAAGAAAATACAGTACTGAAAAATCAATTTCTTTAAAAAAAAAATTGTAAATAATCTCTCTTATTTTTGAAAGAGGTATCATTGAAACACTACATGACTTATTCTTCCTCCCCCAAGCATGCTTTGGAACATTATACATGCACACCCAGGAAACAATAGACTCCCAAAAGTTATAATATGATCTTTAGTAGTATACGCAGTTCATAATGTTTGTACAATTGATTTCATATGGACAGCACATATTGGATTTATAAAGAAATACAAACATATTAACTCAATATATTTTAGTATTCTTGTACTGCAAAGGAATGGAGATGATTCCAACAGAAATTCAGTATCAATGGCTTCATCTTACCTGCTAACCCCTGGATGCAGCTCATTCACCACTACTCTTCTGCTCCAGGCCATGAGATCTCTCTCTGTGGCCATCTGACTGCGAGGAGCATTGAGATGCATTTGCCGGACCCCCTCAATCTGACCGCTTCGTCTGAGACCAACATTTGGTGGGGAGTCCAAACCTGGACTTCTAAGAGCTAAAATACAAAAATGAAGATCTCTTTCCCTTTCATTTCCACAACTATTTTAATAAAAATTTATGCATAAAAATTTAGACCTAGACAGAGAGTTTCTTCTCAGCCCTCTGCAAGTGGCGGAGCATAATTGCGCTGGTTCAGGGGAGGGCAGTTTTATCACAGTTACTGATCAACTGAAAATCAGTTACTAACATGAGGTGAGGGGTTTTGACACTTTCAATGAATACCTAGGAATACCTACTTCTATATGTTGCTGGACTGTTACCAACCACTTTGCACACTCATAAAAAAAGTGATCAGTCTGTGCTGTGACTTCCTATGGTACCTGGAGTTTTTGAGGAGATTTCTCAACAAAGTAATGACTAGGCCAACATAAGATGCGTAAGTAAAGTTTTAATAAGTACGAGGGGCCAAAGTCCCATTGATTTTCAACAGGACTTTTACTTAGGAGCTTTTGAAAATGTCATGCTACAAAAGCAGATGAGATTACTGTAGGCTCCAACACATTCACTTGCACTGTTTCTGTAACCTACCCTGTTGTGCCTTTTTTGGGTTCAAAAAAGAACTAGATAAATTCATGGACAATAGTTCCATCAATGGCTATTAGCCAGGATGGGCAGGCATGGTGTCCCTAGCCTCTGTTTGCCAGAAGCTGGGAATGGGCGACCGGGAATGGAGCACTTGATGATTACCTGTTCTGTTAATCCCCTCTGAAGCACCTGGCATTGGCCACTGTCGAAAGACAGGATACGGGGCTATATGGACTTTTGGTCTGACCCAGTATGGCCATTCTTATATTCTTAGACACAACTCTGTCCCTGAGCTGCTCTCAAGGCAGCACAGCTACATACTGTCCTTTACCCAGAGCCAGACGAAGTCTGAATCTTTCCTTTAGTCAGTCAAGTGGGGATAAAAAGATCCTGGGCAGTACTAGTACCACAGCTATTTCTGTCTTTGGTTTACGTGGCCACTTAGAATTGAAATTATCTAATTTCCATATGCACAAATATGGTGCACATGCAAAGTAGACTCATAATTATGCAAAGCTGTATGAAAATCTGGTGCTTAAAGTGTCAATTAGGCTTAAATGTAAACACCTCACTGATGTGAATACAGGCAGTTCATGTGTCCCACAGCTAGTGTTTAAAGTAGGCTGCAAACTCTGGAAGACAATGGGGCATCAGTTTACACTCCGTTCATGTTTGGAAGGTTATCTTAACCATATGGTCTAGACTTTTTTTTTTTTTTAAATGAAAGCTTGCACTGTGCAAAATTTAAAAATCGGTCACAAGGGACAGATAAGAACCTCAAGCAGGCTGGACTGAGCTGGGTGTTTGGAACCACTGTATTAGATCAAAATGAAATTAGGTGTTCTGTTGGTAATCCTTTCCTAGCATACTGCTCCCATGGATCTGTATCAGTAGCAGGTAGTTTAAACATAAGCAAGTCACTCACTCATTTAAAACCTAAAACCAGATTACTAGCAAATATACAGTAAACTTTTTAAGAGCTTTGGATACTATGAATAAACTGATTTATGACTAGCTGACTCACAGCACAAGTCCACAGCATCTGTTACAACAGACAGTAAGCTGCTTTGTGATCAGCTGGTCAGATCTGATTGGGTTTGATTGTAGCTTTTAATCATGGTCTCTAACAGAACAATGGGACAGGAGAACAAATTCAAGCTTTAAAATGAAACAGTGGGACAAAGCAGATATGTTTAATTTATGAACACTGATGCATATAGGCAGCAGCAAGAGAGCATTAGCCTTTCGCAGCACTGTACTCTAATAACTTCGTCTACTTACTAATTATACGCTGTTATGGTGACATTAAGATAGGAAAAGTTAGAAAGGATCATCCCTGCAGCGAATAAATGATAATAAGGTAAGATAGTAAAAGTTTATTTTTAGAAAAAGTTTGTAAGAGAATTATGGTCTAATTGTCTTAAGCAATCAGGCACTACCCAGCTAGAACATCAAGTGCTCTCAGTTGCACCTCACACTCAATTCTTCTACTAAGTCATCACCTGCCCTCCAAAGACCTCCAGATGAGTTACTAATGCTTAAATCAGCGATTCTCAAACTGGGTCTCATGTTAATGGGGTCACCTGGGCTGGCGTTATCCTTGCTGGGGCCCAACGCCAAAGCCCGACCCCCATCACCTGGGGCCAAAGCCAAGGGTTTCAGGCCAGGGCAGTGGGGCTTGGGCTTTGGCCCTCCCGCCTGGGGTCGTGTAGTAATTTTTGTTGTCAGAAGGGGCATCACGGTGCAATTAAGTTTGAAAACCCCTGGCTTACATGAATGGGGAAAGACAGGGAAAGAAAGCACATACAAGACATAATCATGATAGAACTGGGAGAATAATTGATATTTTGGTTCAAGTCAGCAAACTGAAAAATCAGAGAAAATATTTTGTAAAGGTTAGGCATTTGTCAAAAAACCAGAAAAGTCCATTTTCAGGGGGAGAGGAGGAACAGATTGTGAGGAACTGTGTGTGGTGTCCCTTGATAACCTTTAGCCAGTAGTTAATGCACTTGTCTAGGATTGGGAGACTCACGTTTGAATCCCCAGTCTGAAGCAGGGATCTGAATTCATGTCTCTCCCCTTCCTTGTAACAATCCTAACCACCAAGCTATAGGCTATTCTGCTCTGAATCTCTCTGGTTGAAGCTGTTCCACTTTGCATAAATATTCACTCAGCCAGAGAGAGAATGTCTCCATAGCCTGGTGATTAAGGCACTCATCTGTGAGGTAGGAGATGTGGATTCAATCAATTCTCTGAATCAGACAGAGAGAAGATCTGAATCTGGATGGACACAGGCAAACATACATGCTTTTCAGAAGTTGGCCCTGAAAAGCATTTCCCCAGCTGAAACTACTGGGTCAAATCTGCAAAAACATTGGCATTCTCAGTGCAGCCAGTCCAGGCACCTGGTCACAGTAGTTCAGAGTGCTTTCCTAGCAATCTGACTAAATGACTAATCAAGACATGGGGGGAATACTTACCACCATTAATAGAGTGTGATCTACTGTATGGAGGGTTTGGGATAGCTTCTCCTTCATTCATTCGCCTCAGATCTTGTTCTCTCTGCAGCTCCCTAATCATTCCATCCAGAATACTCTCATCCTGGTCATTGGTTTGCTGCCCAATCACCTGTTCAATCACTTCACCGTCACCTTAGTGAGAGCAAAGCACCAGTTTTACTAACAACCCAAACACACTCAAACTCCGCACCAAGTGCTTTCCTGCCTTCAATTCACATACATTATATAATTTTGCATTTTATTTGTATTGAGCCAAGTTGACTCTTCTATTGTAAGATACATTGCTTGCCAACTATTTCAACAAGGTGGTAGGCTACAACAAAGATTTCCATGAGATACCTAGCTCCTCCTCTGAATACTTTCCCATTAAGTTCAGTTCTAGTGGTTTCTCATTCCACTCATGCTACAGATTTTAAAAACTATTTTATCATTCATATGGATTGCAGCAAGAGCCAAAGACTACCAGTTTGTATGAAAGCATATACTCATAAAAGAACCAAGAGAAGTCTTCTTGCTATCTGGTTTTTTTACCTCGTTATTCTGCTACCCAAATTTCTCTTGCCATATAGGGAACTACCTATCTATGCAGAGTCCAAAAAGATTCTCCCCACCAGTTGCAAGTATTAAGCTGAAAGCCACATCTAGCAGTAGAGAAAACAAATACTGTACTAATGTTTCATTTGGTGTTAACGGTCAGATTTTTTACAGAGATCCTCCTGTAGCAAAGTTTATATTACAAAGAACAAAAAATTGATTCCAAAACCAAAACCCCTCTTCCTTTTCAAAGATTACTTTACTTTATAACTACTGTATTAACAAAATACAGGGCCCTATTCTGCCAGTCTTGTATACAGCTCCACTGAAATTAATGGATTTGCTGACTATACAGAATAAGGCTCACTACTGTTTGAGTGCTACAGATTCTCTGCAATAACCAAATCCTGTCTCTGGTTTTAAGACAGGCCAATCAGTACACTTCCATTGCTTCATTCATGTTGTAATTCATCCCTCACATATTAACACTGGACTGAAGATCACAGTCTAGCTGAAGAAGAGTGATAATAGATCATTCCCTCTGGTGTTGCCCTAGTTAATTAACATTCATATACTTTTCAGTAAGCTTGTTAAACAAGAACTTTAGATAACATACCATTAGCCACATATCCCAGTTGAGGAATAAGTTGTTCATCCTTACAATTTTCCCGTCCTGGTACAAGACGCTGGTATCTTGTGGGATGTGGATTTCCATCCACATCCACCAGGAATGGGGGAGGCATGAGATGTGGAGCCTGTTGGGTCTGTTCATCCAGCACATAGTTATTAGCATCACGAATCAGTGGCCGATAATCCGTATGGAAGAACATCTGATCTGGAATCTATATGAAGGACAATTTAATAATAGGTGAGCGTTCACTAACAGCAGTCTGCTTTGGAATGGTTTCTGCACCCACAGAACACAACTCCTATGCAGGGGATCTGCAGAGCCAAATACATGATGAAGAACACAAATGCGTTCTATACCCAAGGCTTGAAAATTCTGATGCCATGCATCAAACTTCAGCAGCAGGATATGCCAAGCAAGGCAGAAAGAGAATAGGAGAAAGTGCCTTGTACCCCTTTCTAATGATTCTCCTTGGACAGCTTAAAGAATGACATTGCTGGATTCTGGAAGTAAGTGTGCAGTCCTCCGCTCGCCATAATGAAAAACAGATGGAGAAATAAAAAAAAATTAATCATGTAAGTAGATAGGGAAGAGAGTGAGAATGGAGGTAGTCAGGTGCCAACAAGGCGCTCAGAAGACCAAGTTTTACATTTCCTGTAAACTAAACATAATTCTATTATAGGCTAAAAAAAACACCCCAAAGCCAAAACCACTACTGGTCCCACCTCTACTCATATCCCAGAAGGTATCTGAAAAGGCCTCATTTCATTTTTATTATTGCAGAGCAGCAGTTCTGCTCTATTTAAGGTTCAGAGTCACTGTTTGAAAGGCGACTATTTTAAGTGCACTAAAATCCACATGCTGACTCAGAATGTCTTGAAATCCACTTGCTGTGGACCCTCATGAGTGTGGGGTCCAAATTCAGACTCATGTGTGCAAAGGGTTCCTGAGATACAGCCCCCCAAAAATGGTGTTTACAAAAATCACTTGGTGGTTCTAACTCTTTTTGCCCACATATGGGTCTCAAACTATAGCTCTGATCCTCCCCAAACCGGTATCACCCTTAGGAATTTATCTAGTGCTTCGACCCACTGCCTCTTTGAAGAAGCACATTTCAAAAGCTATTAAGGATAAAGTTTAAAACTCCAGGTCAGCATGAGTGAAACTGACATGCCAAAGAGAACAAAATGCAGCCAGACCAAGGCACTGGTGAAGCCAGGGGGCTTGCAGACAGTTATTACAGATGCTGGGAGGAGACATGCTGTGGTCACGGAACCTGAGCTACACTCATGTACTGCAAGGGCAAACCCTACCCTTGACAGCTTCCAAGTTCCTTGCTCTCAGCCTGTATTCTGCAAAGGCTCCTTTTGGAAGTTTGGCACTGAGACCAACATGTCTAGTTTACAGAGCTCTAAAATCCACAAGGAGACACTGATTCTACTTTGTGTTTGGATTTGTGTTGGAAATGGCCCACCTGATGATCACTTTAGATAAGCTATTACCAGCAGGACAGTGGGGTGGGAGGAGGTATTGTTTCATATTCTCTGTGTATATATAAAGTCTGCTGCAGTTTCCACGGTATGCATCCGATGAAGTGAGCTGTAGCTCACAAAAGCTCATGCTCAAATAAATTGGTTAGTCTCTAAGGTGCCACAAGTACTCCTTTTCTTTTTGATTCTACTGTAGAAACATTGTCAAGGAAATTAGTGTTAATTAAACACAGGAAAGATGAAAGACTCTAATAAGCAGTTAGGATAATGCACTCATGCCTGAACCTTCTGAACAATGGCACAAAGTGGGATCAAAGAAAAGTTGCTCATAACATTTTCTGATTCTTATAACTATTTTGGTGCAGAGCTAAGGAATACAGGGGGGATCAGAGCCAAATGGGGGAATACATTGGCTAGAGCAGTTAGAATACAATGTTAGAGCAGTGCACAAGGTGTGGGGAATGGGAGGTGGTGTGGGGAATGCCCCTTTGCCAACCTTCATCCTTTCGTGCTGTGCTCTTCCACACCTACTGAGGAGCCAGCACACCTTGATAACAACCCTTATTAGCATAAGGGAACATCCTAACACTATGTTTTTGAAAATCAGGTTCAGTGGTTAGAGCTTTGACTAAGAACTAGGGTTCCAAAAAAGTAGTTTTTCTACGATCCCTCAAGGAATAAAAGGATCATCCTCAATAGGACCTTTCCTTTCTGAGAGCTCAGAGCAATAAGGACATACTTCGGAGAAAGGGAACTGGAGCCATCTGTGCCCTCCCTCCCCAGCTCCCTGTGACTGCTCAACTAGGTGAAAGGAGGGGGCTCCAAGGCTAACCAATAAGGGGGAAGGAATCCAGAACTCACCACCTTCCAGATGCTGCCTCCAGCAGTGGAAGGGGCTCCTCCTGTCCCTTCCTGCCTCCAACTTGCACGTCACTCCTCGCAGCCATGCCCACATCCCTCCCCACAGCCTTTCCTAGCTTACCAGGACCATGGACTGAGCGGCAAGGCAGAGGGAGGAGCAGGTGGATATGTGGAGAGGCCTTGGAGGAGCAGGTGCGGGGGGTGGTCAGAGATGGGTATGATGAAGAGAATGTTAGAGGAGTTGGAGCAGCGTAAGAGCAGCAGAGAGGAATCTGAGCAGTGATGGAAAATATGGGGGTGCTGGACTCGTGTAGGGAAGAGTGGGGTGCAAAGGAAGGCGTGTCAGCGGTCTGAGCAGTGGGGGATGTTGAGGGCTTCAGCTCTGTGCCACCAAAATCCCCCACATACATGCCCCCATATTTGTCCCCTTACTTCAAAAATGTCCCCAATGACTTCATGCTAGTCCCTGAACTTGCCTGCATCCTCTCCCCAGCTCTTCGGTCTCTGGGTCCCATGCCAAAATCTGCCTCATCACAGAGATGGACTGAGGAGGGAGAACAGGGTTGTGCTGGACAAGCAGAGAGGCCAGAGACAAGGTTATGATGGGGGAGCGAAGGGACTAACATGAAGCCAATGCATTCTGCGGTCAGAGTAATCATTGCCAAGAAGCCAGAGGCAATGGAAGGGGAGTGCTGGGCTGTGGCACATGGGGAAGCAGAAAAATTATTTTTAGAAAACCAAGAACATTAAATGTCCAAGAATTTCGTTCCCTCAGAGTTAAGGTTATGCAGTGGTGCTTCATGCCCTTCCAGGATGGAGAGAATGGCTACACTGAAACTTCCGAAAATCAGGACATACAGAGTTAAGATACATGCTCAATTCACAATGCAAGCTTAACTCTGCCCACTTTGAATGGCTGTCCAATGTGCTGATAGCTAAGGATATGATTTAGTCATGGATATTCTTAGTATAAATCATGGACAGGTCACAGACAAACAAAAATTCACTGCCGGTTACCTGTCCATGACTTACATTATAAATACCCTTGACTAAATCGGGGGGGGGGGGGGAAGAGACCGGTGACATCACCACTTCCACCAGCTTCATCCCAGACATCACCTGGGATGTGAGAACAGATGCGTGCACACTCACTCTCCGTGGAAGAGCACGTCCTTCTCCTTCCCTTTCCTGTCCCTTTCCTTTTGCCTTCGGAGTCTACCAAGACTGTATATTTTGCAACACACCTGTAAGCCTGTGACCAGAAAGACAGCTAACTGTAATTCCCTAAACACCTGATGCTGGTACAAGTTTGCCAGGTCTCAGATTGGCTGATATCACATACTGTGCTTATGTTTCTTCAGCAGTGAGGTTACAAGTGAGTCTCAACACTAGAGACAGAAGCATTTTCTAATTTTTGCTGTTCTTCTCCCCCCTGCCTTGTGTGAGCTTTTCTTGTTTTGTCTTCTAGGAAATGGGATTAGATTTTAAGAATAAAAACAATAATGAGACCTCCAGCCCATCTCAACTAAAAATTCTCTTTTCCCCAATAGGACAGTTATCACCATCTTTAATATCATCTAAAAAACTGTCATGCTTTGTGTGTATAAAAAGATCTTCTACACTTCCACAGTATGCATCCGATGAAGGGAGCTGTAGCTCACAAAAGCTTATGCTCAAATAAATTGGCTAGTCTCTAAGGTGCCACAAGTACTCCTTTTCTTTTTGCGAATACAGACTAACACGGCTGTTACTCTGAAACCTGTCAAGACAAGGGAATTTCCCTCTTAAAACTCTCTCTCCAGCTAAAGAGAAAAAGATCATTAAAATGAAAGCCTTACCTAATACTTAGGGCCCTTCCAAATTCACGGCCATGAAAAACGCATCACAGACTGTGAAATCTGGTCTCCCCCTGGTCTTGTGTGCTTTTACACTATACTATACAATACAGATTTCACAGGGGAGACCAGCGTTTCTCAAATTGGGGTCCTAACCCAAAAGGGAGTTGCAGGGGTGTCAAGGTTATATAGGGGGGTCACAGTCAGTGTTCCCTCTAGTTTTTCCAGCCCATGTGCAGAATGATTTTTGTTCTGTGCACCAATAAGGAGGTGATGTATGACACATCACCTTCATATTGGTGCACATAACAAAATTTATGGAGTGGGGCCGACAGGTTCAGAGTGTGGGATGGGCCTCAGGGCTGGGGCAGAGAGTTAGGGTGCAGGGGGTGAGGGCTCTGGGGTGGGGGCGGGGATGAGCGGTTTGGGGTGCAGGAGGATGCTCTAGGGCTACGGTGGGGAGAGATTACCCCCCCCTCCCCCGCTCTCTCTCCCCGCAGCAGCCCCTGGGCTGGGCGGGGGGAGAGGCACATCTCCCCACCACGGCAGCTCCAGGCCTGGGGCCGCAGGTTAGGTGCCCCTCCCACAGCAGGTCAGGCAGGAGCTGGGTTTGAGCCAGGGGAGGGGAGTCCTGGCCACTGCAGTTCTGGGCCACTCCAACTGGATTTGGGGCAGGGTAGGGATGCCCCGGCCACCCTGGGCTGCAGCAGAATTGGGGCCTGGGGAGGGACACTCATGTTGGACAGCTTCATGGCCACATTAATACCTTTGTCTCTTGGGGTCCATTTATTCCATATAAATTAATACAAAACCACCATAGGACGAAGTCTAACATCTTCTCTTTGCTTAGGCTAAACTCGAGTTTAGGCTGGGTTTAGCAAAGAGGAGTTACCTACACCTGACCTATACTCAAACACTGAGCCTAACACCACACAGTCCACCCCAGACTACTTTAGCCTTGCCCTGAGGATTACATCTGAGACATTGCCTTCAGGTATCCCTCACTAAGCTGTGGAGACCAAAAATCACATATGCCACCAAATGGCAGACAATCCCCCTGGCAAGAAGAGTCCTGTGCACTGCTATGGACACAAACTACAGAACTCAGCAATGAAATCAGGCATACTTGATTTCTCAAGGTACACGTGAACCTTTCCTCCTACCACAGGGAGAGCTTTTCCAACCTGCTCCAATTGATCCCTGTTCCATTCAATACAGGTACATAAAATAGTGAATGCAGCTGAAGTGCATGCAGATAAATGCCGCAATACCTACTTGGAACACAGCACAAACAATGGTACATTCTTGTAGTCGTTTTTCATGTCTACTTATGGGGCCACCCTACTGAACCATTCCCAGTAGCAACTACCAGCTCCAGAGGGCAGAATTAAGATTAAATTTCAGGAGTGCCTGTACTTTACACCTCCGTATTTCCTAATTTTCAGAGGTCTAAGAAAAGAAATCTGGAGCATTTACTATATATGAGTTAATCTCATCACTTTCTTTGATACAGAAAGGGGCAGCACTGAACAATAATTATATAGTTAATTTTCTGTTCAGTTTGCACTTGGAAGAAAGGATTTTATTGGATCTCACGGAACATAACACCAACTGACCTCCTATGTTGGCAAAAAGAACTTGTGTAAAATTTGAAAGAATAGCAGTGACACATTTTGATCAAATAAAACCCTTCTCTCTTCCTTAAGATGCCTACAGACCTTCCTTGGTGTTTTTATTGCTTTTTCACAAAGTGACACTTTTCCTTGCCACATTAAGTTAACATGTAGTGCAGGCTTGCATATATTTTCTTTTTCAAGTCACATTCTCTCCAGGTTTGCCAAACATCCTCTATTCCCACTACCAAAAGATTTACTGTGGGATATTTAAACATATGCAGCTTTTGCTTTAGATAACCAGTGACTGCCACGTAATTCAAGCACCATTTAGAGCTCATCATGAGAGAAATACCATAAACAACACTTCCCAAACAAAACCAGCCCAAAAAGCAGAAAAAAGTCTAAGATTCAGTCAACCCACCTTTTCATAATATTTATTGCATCCAAAACCAAATAATAGCAGATGCCCATGTGAGTCTGTGCAGGCAAAATGCTGTCCATCTGGTGAGAATTTGCAATCAAAAACAGCACCATGGCCTTGGCCTTCAATCTGTAACGTACAAACACAGCATACCCATTTTAAATCATTTATTTTCTACACTAGCTTCAATATGATGATTTAACCTGCCCTACTTCAGATTCTTCAAATATCATTATATAACTGCATACACATTCTGTTTATAGGTCCCAGTTTAATATAAGATCCATCTCACACCAATGAAATGGAATTTCACTAATTCCCCCTCCCCATTTAGCTATTTTTTTAACATTTACAATTCTCAGTTAAGTTTTAAATTAGTGTCCCATCTTTCCTAAACCTTAATGCCAACACCCTTAAGCTCCATTGTGAAAAAGTTGTCAAAAACATTCCACTGATTTTCAGAGATGTAAACATGATCGTTTACCAAATGGCTTGGTATTATTCTTAAAATAATTCTTCCTTCCTAAAGCCTAGTTTCATACAAGTGTGAAAATATTCCCTGACAATTCTTACCATGTTAAAGTAATTGCGAATTTTTGTTCCTTTGTCAAGGTCCCAAACGAAAATGTTCCCATCATGACCTGCAGAAAGCATGATCCTTTGGTCAAATGGATGTGCTTCTAAAACAAAAACTTCATCATCATGGCCCTGTGATGAAAGCAAAGTAGGAAAGGAAAGTAATGTTTCTGTATAACAGCTCAATGCGCAACTAAATATTTATTTTGAGGTCAGTGATATGTAATGTTATCAGATTAGAACTGTATCACTCTTCAGTCACTGTTCTAAGGACTTTTAGCTCCGTTTAATATCTTCCACGACCTCATAGCCCAGATTCCTAGCTGGGAAAAGGTGAGGTGGAGGCCAACAAAGAGGACTGCTGCAGCTCCCTAATTTTGGAACTACTTTAATACAAGCTGGCTATGGCTCTAAGAGGCCCTTATGTCAGCCAGCAATTGCTGGAGAGCAACAGCACCATGATAATTTACTCTTTCCCCATAACACACACTCCTTAAACCAGGACTCAGGAGAAGCATACAGCTGACCTACTTCAGGAGTAAGGCATTACTTAGTGCATGGAAGGATAGCAGACTCCAGCCCTTAATCTTGTTCTAGTCGCAGAAATACAGAATTTTGTAATACACACTGGAATTTTACTCACAGATAAACTATGAAGAAGCTGTCCCGTGGTCGAGTTCCATACTTTCAAAAGGAAGTTGTTGACCGCAGTGATGACAGTGGAATCGTATCGATCCCAAGCCACCATAGTAACCTTCAGTTTAGTTACTTTGTCCTCCCCAGATACCAAGTTGTTACTGTGGAAATTCATAATTGAAAAGTACATCATACCTCAGTAACTATACAGCAAAACCTCTCAGTAGCAATTCAATTGGAAATTAGTGGGAGATTGGCTGTCACCACTATACTGTATACTATTGGGTATAACAGGATAGTGAAATTTGATTGAATCTGAAAATAAATAATGGTTCATGCAATTCAAGAATATATTTTGTTGTGGTGGAAGCAGGATACAGGAAATATTAAATACATTTGACATTAACCTTAATCCTTCACTTCTCTATGTGAGTAAACCAGCTCTATTATTAAACATTTACATTGCAGCAGCACTTACAGGCTGCGACCAGGTTCAGCTCCATTGTGGTAGGTACTGTACAAACATATAATGAATGACAGACCTTGCCCCAAGGAAGGAGGTAGGAAGAATTTCTCTCTCTTTAGTCCTAAAATAAATTTTTGTTTTGAAACTGTGGAAATTTGTGAGATGCATGCACATCCAAGCAATTTATAAACACTTGGAATTCATAATCATATTTACAAAACTATGGAAAATTTGGTTTATATTGAAAGATTTTCCACTCTCTTTGAAAAACAGTAGTTTCAGCTCCTGTTCTATGTAACAGATCATTCTTTTGCCTAGAAAATTAATCATTTTCCCTTTTTTCCAGTAGGCACTTTTTCTTTTCTTTTCTTTTTTTAAACATCCACCACTGTTATGTGCTATAGTAAAATCCATCACAAGTACCTACTGGTTAAATAAATCTAAATTACAGTTAGATGGCCACCTTAGAGATGTTTAGTGCTACACATGTAACTTTTGAGAGAGACACATATTTTCTGCAACAGCACAGGGAAATGAACGGAATTGTCCAGCAGGTCTTTCCCATCTCTATTTTCTATGCCTGTGTTTGTTCTAATACTGGGCCACTTACTGAAGTCATTTGAACAACATGCCAAAACAAACAAACAAACAAAAAAAACACCCAGAAAACAAAACAAAACAAAAAAACACCCTAAAAAATTAAAAACCCAACCAGCATATCAAATCTTACATCATGTTGCATCTCCAACAGGAAAAAAAATAATGTTAAGAAACACTATGAAAACATTCAGATAAAAATCTTATAACCATATTCGAAGAAGCAAAAAAGAAATCCCAAAACATATTTTAAAAGGGACATAATATGGAAAAAAATAAAAGAACAAAGTTCAGACCTTTTCAGCATTTTTCTGCTCACTGCCATTTGTTTTCAACTAGATAAGACTATTTCCAGAATGACCTCACACCCTTTTACCGAAAACATTAATTCACTAGCATTCTAACTGTAATTGCAGAAAATCTTCACTGTACATTAATGACGGGGTGATCCATGGAAAATTACTGAATTCATATGATTCAACACCGAAATGAATCACAACATGTACTTTGTTTATATTTATCAATTCTTAGTTTAGTTTTAATTTTTATTATAATACTTCATAGTATATAATAAATATAATATGGCATCTTTTGTAAAAAATAAAGAAATCCTTGGAATTTAAGGCCACACTACAGCAACTACAATTGAATCTTCACTGATAGGTGGGAGAGACCACACTTTTTTTGTGCATATTATAAAATGTGGAGCTCAAACTGCACACAAGTGAGGTTCCACTACAGCTTCTTTCCACGAGAGAGACTATTCAACATTCTAGTTTCTTATGTAAAATAGGAAGAATGTGCCATCCATGGGAGTGATGAAACTGCTGAGTAGATATGTTAACATAGATTAATTTCAAGGTTAATTAAAATGTTCAAAAGAACTGTGTCATTTAATGGACAAGGACACAGCACTTTTAATACACACCAAACTACATGCATTGAGATTAATTCAGAATATAAGAGAATACATTTTTCAAATTAGTTGCTGGAAAGGTTTTGTTCTTACACATAGATGATGGCACAGTATAAATTAGTGTTTTGTTTTCTTTTACCCTGTCATTTTAGTAGCCATATCCAGGACTATACTCTTCCATTCCTGCTGCTGGTATTGCCATATTCTTGCTGTTCCATCTCTGCTCCCACTGACAAATCTTAAACTGTAGACAAATGTGGAAAAAATAAGTCATGTAATTTGTCAGCATCAAAGCCAGAGAATATTTAATCTTTCTTTCTATTTTGTTTGCACATCTCTGTTCCAGAGTGTAATGAGAAAACAATGAGTTTATATTTTTTCTATTAGATATTGTACACAAGATTAATTACAGTTACAGCGAGCAGATGGACTTGGAGTGAATTCAATGTTGTATTTCATATAAGCTGCACTCTCTCTTTTTAATGACATCAGCAAATCTCTTGAAACAGTTTGAAACGGCAGCAGAAAAGAAAATATACGGCCAGGTTCTACTATAAATTACACTGTATTAACATTTGTACAGATTATCCCCAAATCTGCAAATTAATCGTCCTGTTTGTGAAGATGAATGTACATAGCTTTATTTTTCAAACTATGTTAGGTTAAAAAGTTAAATATTTAATAAAAATCACACTCACCTACATAAAAGTGTCATGGCCAGGAATGGAACAATATTTAGGGCTTTTTTAATCATAGAGGAATTCCCCAAGTATTGTACATTTAATTCAAGGGTGCCCAGCAACATTTTTTACTCTTAAAAAAACAAAAAAAATCACCTGAAGCTTTCAATGTAAAAACCCAATTCTACTCTAATAAGTGATGGTTTCTTTTTTTTTTAAATTTCATTCTTACTGTAATGGAAAAAGAGGGGGGGGGAACCCTATAAATACACTTATGCTAGGTTCTTGCTTTATTTTGACTTTATTTTCTTTCAAGGACTTATTTCATTACTCCTGTAATCTAAACAGCGGGTTGTGGATTTTATATTAAAAGCATCAATATAACAGGCTGAGTGGGGAATTTTCAAGTGTCTGAGTGACTTAGGACTTTCAATGTGACTTGTACGCCTACATCACTTAGGCCAGATCTGCATTAGGAGCACTTTGCTAATATAACTATAGCAGCTCACTACACAGGCAAAGCACTTCTACCGTCTACACAGCTTACACTGGCAAAAAGAGCACACTATAAACTACAGGAGGAGCTTTTTGCTGACACAGCTACCTTGGTCAGAAATCACACCTTTTCATACCCCTGGCCGACAGAGCTATGCCAGCAAAGATTTGTAGTGCAGAGCTGGCCTTAGGAACTTTTGAAAATTCTACCATGGGCCTTTTGGTTTTATTCTCTAACTCTAACCCTAACAGGTAGGGACAACGTATATATTAGTTTTCTGCAGAGTGCCAGCCACATTGTCAGAGGACAGCAAACAAATGTGAATAAGACACACCAAAGGAATGATAGCCAAGACATTAAGGCTTTAGATCCTGGTCCTGCAAAAGTGGAACCAGCAAAAGGCTGGGGGTTTAGAGAGCAGATGCTGCATATGTACATTAACTACTTTACTTATTGTAATATGGATCCACAATAGAGTACACAGGGTAATATTCTTACTAAAAATCAGTACGGTCATTCAAAATAATTCATGCCAGACCTCCAAGAAGTATTTCAGTTTAGGAAATATTAAGACTGCTCCACAATATTAAACTCTATTAATATAGTTCCTCCACACAATGACACTTGGGGAAAAAAGCGTACATAAACCACCACAAAAACGTGGAGAGAATACTAAGCAATACATGGAGAATCTGTATTCTTGTGAAAAGAATTGGACTGTAGTACTCTCTGCTGCTGATTACAAGGAGAACAATTAACTGAAAGCTGATTTTAGGCAAGTTTCTGAAATGGGAGGAATGAAATATGCTTTTGTTTTAAATGAATTGTTATCTATTTTATAAACAGATGTAATCTGACATTTGTACATGAAGATAAACTGCGTCTCCCACTCCTCTTGAGGAGTGGTCCTCTGCTTTATCCTTTACATACAAACCAACACAAATCACAGAGCCAAAAACATGGGGGACGGGGAGTTTCCTGGCTACTCCTACACAGTATTCAGAGTGTTAGCCGTGTTAGTCTGTAGCAGCAAAAACAATGAGGAGTCCTTGTGGCACCTTAGAGACTAACAAATTTATTTGGGCAAAAGCTTTCATGGGCTAGAACCCACTTCATCAGATGCATGGAGTGGAAAATACAGTCGCAGGTATAAATACACAGCACCTAAACACGTAGGAGTTGCCTTACCAAGTAGGTCAGTCTAACGAGACAATTCAATTAACAGTAGGATACCAAGGGAGGAAAAATTACTTTAGAAGTGGTAATGAGAGTGGCCCATTTCAAACAGTTGACAACAAGGTGTGAGTAACCATCATGCCATCATGTGCCAGCAATGCCCCTTTGCCATGCACACTGGCCAAACCGGACAGTCTCTACGCAAAACAATAAATGGACACAAATCTGACATCAGGAATTACAACATTCAAAAACCGGTAGGAGACCGCTTCAGTCTCCTTGGTCACTCAATAACAGACCTAAAAGTGGCAATTCTTCAATAAAAAAAAAACTTCAAAAACAGATTCCAAAGTGAAACTGCAGAACTGGAATTAATTTGCAAACTGGACACCATTAAATTAGGCCTGAATAAAGACTGGGAGTGGTTGGGTCATTACAAAACCTAATTTCCTGTGTACTAATTTCCCCCTACTGTTACTCACACCTTCTTGTCAACTGTTTGAAATTGGCCACTCTCATTACCACTTCAAAAGTAATTTTTTCTCCCTTGGTATCCTACTGTTAATTGAATTGTCTCATTAGAATGACCTCCTACTTGGTAAGGCAACTTCCATCTGTTTATGTGCTGTGTATTTATACCTGTGACTGTATTTTCCACTCCATGCATCTGATGAAGTGGGTTCTAGCCCATGAAAGCTTATGCCCAAATAAATGTGTTAGTCTCTAAAGTGCCACAAGGACTCCTCACTGTTTTTCCCTACACAGTATGTCTGTCCCTACAGAACCTCCCAAAAGTTGAGATCAGCTAAGGTGAACAGCACATACATCTGAATACATGGAGACAGGAGGCAGCATGTTTGTAACTAAAAACGTGCTTCTCTTGCATGATTTTCAGAACTCTGTTTTGCTGAACCTCAGGGCACGGGAAAGGACTATTTGCTTACTCAAGCCATTGCCCAAGATAGGCCTGACAGAAGAAATCAAATGTCAAAGAATTAGGTCAGATAGTTAGTAGGAGTTGCTGTTCTTGTCTTGCAGTAGTTTTATGCTGTTTGGAAAGCATTTTAAAATATGCCAACTATTTGCTTAAAAAAAAAAAAAAAAAAACTAATGGAAATACCCCCAGAAACCTATGTAATCGGGGGATATTTTTCTATTAAATCAGATATAAAAATAAAATAGCTCTCTTAATCCCAATATCTCTCTTACAGAAGTGAAATCAGTACATGATGGGGACAGGACAAAAAGGGAGCCTGAGTTCTTAATGTCCTTGCTTTTGTTAAATATGAAATGCTAAATTAAGAAAAAATTAGAGTCTAAATTAAATTAATCGCCTTCCACGCCACCTTTAAAAAACAAAGGGAAGAAAGGGGAAATAAAACTGCCTTTTCATTCAGTATCACATTGGGTTCGTGCGTCTTTTTGGCCAGCTGCACTGTTGATTGCATCACTACGATGTTGATCCAAGCACATTTCTTTTGAAATCAAAGAATTTTGCATTGTGCCTAAATGCAAAGAGAGGATTGTGCAAGGGGGGGGGGTGTAGGGGGAGGGAGGAAGAGGACAAAAGTAGTCTCCTCTTTTGTGTCTCAGTGTAGGAAATGGGAAAAATACAGCTCGTCTGAATTCAGGGACTACATTAACAAAGTACTACTGCCAGTGGTAGCTTCTCCAAATAGGGGCTGTGGTCATGGCCTCACCTCTTCTGAAACTAGCCATCAAAGCTGGCTGACTGTTGCAAGGGTGGTACAGTAACCACTCTCCCTGTGCTCTCTGGAGTTCCAGGAAGCATTGAGCCTGCTTTCTGTAAGAAACATGGTTGCTCTAAGGGTATTAGTTTGCACTAAAGCAAACAAAACCCCCACAACTTGCATATTTTTTAAAACTCGCTCTAATGTGACTAAAGCCACAGAGCTGACTTGATGCTATGTTTTAACCTGATGCAATTTCCAGCTGAAAAGTTATTAATGTTAGGAGAGATACAGAAACCTAGGCTTACTGGCACAGCTGATCCTACTAGAATTAAAAAATACAGATATGTCACTCAATGTGAACTTAATCCCACAAGGCACGGAGCATCTCCCATGAGATGCTTAGAACCCTCAATTCCTGTTAAACTCAATGAAGACTGAGGGTGCTAAGCACTTTGCAGCATCACAGCCCTCTAAAGCATGACATTAAGTTTACTTGCTGGGTAACCTGTGTATCCATAATAATTCTACCATTTTTGTTAATCTTTCATTTAGGGCCAGATTCCAATACCCTTAGTCGTGTGGAACAGTACCACATTCCATGAGTATGATGTTCATCTTAGAAAAGAGATGACTAAGGGGGGTGGGGGGCAATGTGATAGAGATTTATAAAATCATGCATGATGTGGAGAAAGTGAACAGGGAAGTGTTATTTACCCCTTCACAAAATACAAGAACCAGGCGTCACCCAATGAAATTAACAGGCAGCAGGTTTAAAACAAACAAATCTTCACACAACGCACAATCAACCTGTGGAATTATTTGCCAGGGGATGTGGTGAAGGCCAAAAGTTCAACTGGGTTTAAAAAAAAAAAAAAGAGAGAGAGAGAGAGAGAGAAATGGATAAGTTTATGAAGGATAGGTCCATTAATGGCTATTAGCCAAGCTGGTCAGGGGCACAATCCCTTCTTCTGGGTATCCCTAAACTTCAGACTGCCAAAAGCTGGAACTGGACAACAGGGGATGGATCATTTGATAATTGCCCTGTTCTATTCATTCCTTCTGAAGCATCTAGCACTGGCCACTGTCAGAAGACAGGATACTGCACTAGATGGTCTGTTGTTCTGACCCAGCACGCCCATCCTTATTGTCTTATGTAATCCCACTGTACTCAATAACGCTACTTGCGGAGTACAAGTCTACTAAACAGAAATAAGGATACAGAATTTAGCACCTGATTCGTTTTTTCAAAAAGAACATACTATTTTTAGTGGTTTACTCCTGGGGGAATTCTGTGCCACCGCACAAAGCAGAATTTTCACAGAAATAATGTTCTGTGCAGAATTTCATTTTCCCCCGCAGAATCGGTGATGCATAACTGCTGGCCACTACTAGGGGCCACTGGACCCAGAAGAGCCAGGCTCTCCAGGTTGCAGTGAGCGGAGCACCCGGCCTAGCAGGAATGAAGGCCCTGAGGCTCTGGCTGCCAGGCTTGATCCTCATATGCCTGGGGACAGGAGAGGGCCTCGGAGACCCAGCTCTGGCAAAGGGTGAGGAAGGGCAGGGCTGCACCATGTCCCCTGGCAGGACAATAATGAAGCTGTGCAGAGCGGAGCCTGCAGCTGGGCTCAGGAGGGGGAGGGGTGCGTGTGCAGGCCTCTGGGCTGGGGAGCCCCACGCAGCCCCCTCCAGCATCCCCCAAATACCCTCTCCCAGTACACAGACCCCTCCCACACCCCCAACTACACCCTCCAGCATCCCCCAGCCATACCCCCCGCTCCCAACTCCCCATCCCCCAGGAAGCTTCCTTTATTTGGGAACTTGAAATACAGTAACCCTATAAGAGCAGGGTAAAAAAATGAGAATTGACTAAAAAACTGAAGTTTTCCCCAAGATGTGCCCCGCTGGCATGTGACACAGCCAGACAGAGGCTCCAAACAAAAGAATAAAGAGAAACAGGACTTGGGCAGCCGTAGAGATTTCTTTAATTCTCTACTCCTGGGGGAATCTTTTTTGTTGTCTATATTGTTGCAGACATACTTGCTGACAGGTATTTTGAAATAAATTACCAAAATAACTGAAACTGACATTATTATATTGTGTTATGACAAAATATGCAGAATTTTACAATACTGTGTGCAGAATTTTTAATTTTTTGATGCAGAATTCCCCAGGAGTAGTGGTTACACTTAGAGACACGGAATCCAGACTCAGCTCTGCCACTGGTTCACTATATATCATTGGACGAGTCAATTAAAATGAGAGGACCCTGTGTAAAGTATTACTACTGTTTTAAAACAAAAGACTCTCACAAAAAGTTGCTTGGAAAATTAAATACAACATGTCTTACAGGAAAAAGCCCAGAATACATGCTTACCTGTCACCATTGTTACAGAACTGAACTGCAACTACTTTGTCCTAAAAACAAACAAACAAACAAACAAACAGAGCAGAAAGCATTTTATAAATCTGGAATTCTTTTTAGTTTTTTTAAACTAGTCAAATTTGATCTTTCCACACACTTCTTATAGAATTTCAGAATACAGAAGTAAAAATATTTGGAGTTAAATTTCCAGAAACAAATATTACTAGACATTATGATCTATACCACAAGTAAGTAGTAGTTAGTTATTGTACTGCCCTTGGAGCAGCCTGGGAAGAAAACTGGCTTAGGAAATCACAATCTCACTACTAGACTCCCCCACCTCTTCTTGTGAGGGGGTGTGCTGCAACAGATGTATATTTGTCACAGCAAACATTCCCAGATGTGTTGATATAGCTATACTGCCATGAGCATGAGCTGGAATCAAGGCTGGGAGCCGGTATGTTTTATGAACTCAGCATAACTGGGGAATTCCTAGGACCAAAGAGCCTTTCTCAGCTACAGAGGCCCAGTGAGTACCAACTCCCATGGAAGTTGGGGAAGGCTGTATTTGAGTTCAAAACCATCATGGTTGCTGGTGTTTTTGGACCAATTTTTTCAGGATCTGAAATCAATTTATTCATCAAATTTCAACCATATTTCCCATTGTTCAGATATAGACATATTACTACAAATTTCTTCACTATTCATATTTTTGATTAATATTTCATGCAAACAAGTGTCAGCTCATGGGTTGCTCACATAGCATGCTGGCCATGTGCCTTTCTTATTCACTATTCCTGACTGCTTATTTTAGTCAGGAATGGTTTTGATTCTGGTCCCTGACTGGATTACTATAATTAAAAGAAAAATAATAATGAAGATTTATCCTGAACAAGTCCCTGATGTTTCATCCTTTCAGGAACATGCTGACAGCAGTTTGTAGAGTTAGCAGGAGCAAGGTTGAGGCTATAAAGCAGCCAGCAGTAACCACAGAGAGAACATGTGACATTAACATGTGCTGTCCAACCACTAAGCACACTACCAGTGCTCAATATCAAACAGGTATTGAGAAATGTTCTAATGCTGGGTTTAGCAATTTCCATTTTTCCTATCAGTCTTTATCAAAATTAATTTGAGAAATTCATTAGTTATAAACAAAAGCCACTAAGACTCATAACTTCGTTAAAGACAGACTGATATATAAAAAACATTTTTCAAAAAATGCTGTTTGTTAAAACATGAAATAAAAAAGGATTCTCATTAACCTTCTTTTTCTTTCAAAATGAAACCACACTTGTATGCTCTGTTGGATTTCACACCCTAAAACCAGAACACTTGTTCTCTCTCATTACAGGTGTTTCTGATCTATATCAATATTAAAGTCAGATACTTAAAAGTAAAATGTAGGGGTGGGGGTGTAGTCAGGTAGTTGAGGCACAAGCGTAGGGGGTCCAGCTTTGGTTTTCTGCTTTGCCACTGACCTCCCGTGTGAACTTGGACAGGTCACTTTGCCTTTCTGTGCCTCAGTTCCCCATCTGTAAGATGGGAATTATAGAATCATAGAACAGAATCGCAGGACCAGAACAGACCTCGACAGATCTTCTAATCCAGTCCCCGGCAGGACTAAGTATTATCATCCCTGGCTGCGGTTTGTCCAATAGCACTTCCCTACCTCATAAATTTGTTGTAAAGATAAATACATTAAAGACTGTCAGATGCTCAGATACTAAGGTACTTATATGGCCCCACATCCCCAAAGATGGACAGAAAATTAGTCCAACAGAATATACAAGACAAAACCTAAATAACCAGGGTGAGTTAAAAATGGAAAGAGATTTAATTTCTCTTTCAGCTCTTACCGTATGGGACTCTAACTCAGCAATTTTCTCTGGCGATTCCGAGCCCAAATAATATATTCTTATCACATGGTCAGTGCTACCTGTTGCAATGAACATGCCACCTGAGAAAGATAGTATTTTCTGTGAGAAGAAAAGCCACTAAAGGAACTAAAAACTTTGTGAGCACGGTGTTACTGCTAGAGGAGCATAATTCACAGTTTTAAATTGAAGATTTTCAGTGGAATTAAACTTGTTCATAAACATTTAATCTTGGTTTAAATGTTTCCCTGATCTGCACCTTCTGAGACGATTACGCTTCAACCTATCTCCTTACTGCTAAAGAAGGGTTGAAATTACTGGAACTGTTACTGAACAAACAAGGGTAACATTTCAAAATACGGCATTCAGTTACTGCGAGTTTACCGCAGTTCTATCAGCCAGATCAATACACAGAAATAAAAGGCAAAGAATGGCTTGCAAATCTCTAGGCCCAAATTCAGCAAAGCACTTAGGACTTAGGCAAATTCTTACTGAAGTGACTTCACATTCTTTGTTGACAGCATAAACTATTTTCCTGTAATAATTGTTCTCGGATGACAATATCACAGAGTCATTATTCAGTACGGGATGCCTGACTTGTGACAGTGAAAGTGCTTTAGTGATTTTGAAATCCTAACTTTCATGGGGGGAAATGGCATGGTTAGTGTGGACCTGAAACAGGCTAGCAATTTCAGATGAAGATAATTACAGGTAAATGATTTCGTTTCACTCTGTAGGTAAGTACCACAGTAAGATATCCTCTCTCTTGCACATTACAAGGCTGGAACAAAACAGGGAAACAGACTATATCTCTTCAAAGACAGTGTAACACAAAAACATAAAATGTTTTTGTTTACCACAAAAAATGGCCCTGTGACTAAAGTATTATTGAACCAAGTCCCTGACACTTTGCGATTAGTTTGGTTACTTATAATCTACAATATCATCTATGTTACATGACAAACTATTACAAACAAAAAACGTCAAAAGAACATTATTCAGGATGCAAAGTCAAGGACTCAAAAGTTAGGAAATGCCCAAATTAAGGAAGCCTGTACAACTTTAATTCAGCCCTTTGTGCATCTGCATGATGACACAGTCTAATTACCTAAATCATATACTTCCCCTCCCAGATTTGGCCTAATTTGGGCAGATTTTCACAGTATAGCAAAAGGAACAGCTCTGACACAGAGACCACACCTCCTGCTAAATTTCAAGTCTGTGCTCCAAAGCATGGAGGGGCAGGAGAAAGCTTTTCAACAAAAAAGGGCTAGTCTACACTAGCAGCACTTTAACGTGCCTTGTGTGGTCACGGCGCAGCGCTGGGAGAGAGCTCTCCCAGCGCTCTAGAAAAACCACCTCCATGAGGGGCGCAGCTCCCAGCGCTGGGGCACACTTAACACTGGCGCTTTACAGTGCTGAAACTTGCTGCGCTCAAGAGGGTGTTTTTTCACGCCCCTGAGCGAGAAAGTTGCAGCACTGTTAATTGCCAGTGCAGGCAAGCCCAAAGTCACCAGAATTTTTTTACATTGGCAAAATACTGTATTTTTCCCCAGTTTCATTCTCAGAAACAGATTAACTATTTTGGCTGAAATTTAAAAACACCCAAGGACAGAAAATTTAAAGTTTAGCAAAGTTATAAGAAACAGAAAAATAAAACAGGATGTTATAATGGGAAGTGTCAGACTACCATAATAGTAGGCAGTGCTCCCAGTGCTCCCAGCTCTGCCTAGGATATCGATCATAGGGAACACACATGATCTTTTCAATATCAAATTGTTATCTATCCAATTTTAAGTTTATAGAATGCAACTTTAACTCTTTAAAAGTATAAAGATTTTAAAAAGGGAACAGAAGGTAAAAAAAAATATATCCAGATTTTCTTTTGAACCACAAAAAGTTGGACAAAGCCATGAACACCACAGCAGCAAGAAATATAGGCTGAGAACAACATGACTTCCCAGTTTGGAAACATATTTTATTTAAAAAAAAAAAAAAAAATTAGAAAATCCTGGACCCTAATCCAGGAATGAGTTAGAGATTGACTCAGTTTTAAAACACTACCAATGTCACAGACAGGATCTAAATAGTAATTCCTTTACATTATACTGCAATAAAAAGTTTAATATTAAGATAAATTTAAAAGGAAATGGAGCTTCCTTTCTACCAGCCACCATGCTGAAGCAAAGTTTCCTCTGAAGTCAATAGGAGTTATGTCTAAATATGGACTTCGTGATTTGAGCATACAAAAAATTAATGCTTCCCAGTTATATATGTCTCCACTTTCCACATGAGGGCAAAACTAACCTAATCATCTTTCCTACTGAAGAATTAGCCAATTTAAATGTACAAATTGCCATTGAAGATTTAATTCAAATCACTTTGTTTCCAAAAAAAAATCTTAAATCATTAGCAAACTTTCTTCTATAGAATATCAATGTATTCCCAGATATATTGTCTTTATTATTTTTCAGTAGCTATAGAGGACCAGAGATTGTTTTAAAGCTAAACTTCTTTTTTTTTTTTTTAATATGTACATACATACATATATACACATACAAAGTAAAACTGAAGTGCTATTTCTTGACTTCTATACATACCAGAGCTGAAAGATGAACAAGATATCTGAACTCCAGGCCTGGATCTCTCAGCAAATTTCACGGGGCGATCCCTAAATGCAAGAAAATAACATGACAATTTTAATTTTATGACCTTATCTTCATGTCCCCTAAGAAGAGCAGTATCAGAGTAACTCAGTGGTTAAAGTTAAGGTCAGTGTTTTCATTTTAAGTTCTTTTATTACAGAATTTGGAACTTGAAGTTTGCCATCAGATACATACACTTAAAATCAGTTTAGTAAAAAAGTAACCCGTGCTTTCTACTTTTGAGAGTTAAAAAGATCTTTTAACCTATTTAAATTTGTTTATATTCAAAAAGCCAAACACTTAAAATAGAAACTGACAAGCCATCATCCTGCAGCACAGAGGTGGGCAAACTACAGCCCGCGGGACTGTCCTGCCAGGCCCTTAAGCTCCCAGCCAGGGAGGCTAGCCCCCCCCCTTCCCCCGCAGCCTCAGCTCGCTGTGCCGCCAATGCTTTGGGTGGCGGGGCTGCGAGCTCCTGCCGGCAGCGCAGCAGCATGGCTGGCTCCGGCCGGGGCGGCACAGCTGCCAGACATGCTGCTCTGAGCGGCATGGGTAAGGGGGTGGGGACCGGGGCTGTTGGATAAGAGGCAGGTGGTTCTGGGGGGCAGTCAGGGGACAGGGAGTTGGGGGCAGTTGGATGGGGCAGAGGTTAGGGGAGGGAGGAGGCGGTCAGGGGACGGGGGGGGGGGGAGGGGGTTGGATAGGCGTGAGAGTCCCAGGGGCCCTGTCAGGTTGTGGATAGGGATCGGGGCAGTCAGGAGACAGGGATCATGAGGGGTTGGACAGAGGGTGGAGTCCAGGGAGGTGGCGGTCAGGGGACAAGGAGCAGGGGGGTTGGCACAGCCTTCTCTTCCTGGCCCTCCATACACTTTTGGAACCCTGATGTGGCCCTCTGGCCAAAAAGTTTCCCCACCCGTGCTGTAGCATGTCATCAAACCCACACTTTTTAGGGATGAAATTCTATCTAAAGATGTTTACATCTCCAATTAAAGTTAATGGAATTTGCATTCCTGCACATTTTAGAGAAGAATTTGGGACTAAACGTACAGGTCTTGGGCCTAAAAGTGAGGAAGACATCCCACAACTATTGCTTGAAAAGCATAAAGCAAAGAACTCAGGGATCAATCCTTTGCAGCCCTGTGGAAGTCATAACACACAACGAGAAAGCACACCCCCTAAGATAGCTGCAAAGGCTTATATGGCTACCCACCACTCCACTTCTCAGACTCCACACTGTCCATTAGACCAGTATGGCAATCAGGCACTGGGGAATGACATCAAGGACCCACTTGCAGATCGAGTTCAAATTTATAACTGGAATAATTATAAACACCAAAATGAGCTTACTTAAATTTAATTGTATTGGCATGCCACTGCCAGAAACAGATTGCTCCATCAGCACCAGTAGAAGTGAGGTATCGGGTTATTCCTTTTCTTGCTGGAGAAAACTAAAAATACAGTTATGGCAGTTAAATCAGCTGACTTCCCTACCCTCTTAAATACAGGTATCTTATGAAAAGAAGCGACTTGCCACTGAAAGTATGAACTTTCTCTGAGTGAACAAAAAGACTAACATGCATTTCTTCAGAATGTAAGCTTCCATAAAAATCAAACAAAGGAAGTGGAGCATGTGTATGTTTTGAGTAGCAAAGGCACTCACTCTGCCATGCAGAAGCTAGAAGGCTGGGAGAAGGTGAGAGTAGCCTAGACCTTCCTTTCCTACAGAACAAGGTGAGAGAATGCTCCTCCTATCCAGCAGCCGAGTTTTATCTGACACATATTAGCAGAGACTGATAGAAACCTGGACACTGGATCCAGTATGATCCAGGATAGCAGCCTGGCAGGAATTTGGGCACCCTCACACTTCCCAGCAGGTCATTTTTTGGATTTTTTTTGGTTGTTGGGGTTTTTTTTGGGGGGGGAGGGGGGGGAGGGGGGAGAAGGATGGTACTTTCACCAGGGTGTCACCCTGTGGCTATGGGTTTGTCTTTGGTGACACAGTCTGGATAGGAAGTTTAATGCTCTTGCAACTAAGTATCTCATAAATTGCTTAAGCTCTGCTTATAAACAATAAAACCAATTTAAAACAGCGTACTTTCTTTACAGAAATTGTAAACTTGTATAAGAATGTCACAGAAAGCTATTACAACCAGTTTTTGCAGTCTGTTTGTGTATGTAAACCTCCAAAGGAGCTACATATTTTATGATTCATTATAACATGGCGAAAAAAATCAAGCATTTTAAATGAGAACCATTAACTCAGAAGTAAAACTAACTTTCTTTGGACAGAGTTCTGAAACATCCAAGAGTTACTGAATAAAATCCTGACTGAATTCCAGTTTTCAAATTATGTGCTCATATTTATGTGCTCCTTTCAACATCCACCTACATGAAATTGTATCAAATTAGTTGTTTCCATTTATAACCCAGTAGCATAAGGCTCAGTCTGCACTGTGCCTCTCCCATATTAGGGAACTGTGTCTGAACTTGGTTTAAACGTGGTGCCAACTACAACAATGTAACATGATTTCACCAGCTATTACAGACTACACTGCCACTACAGAATGGAACTGCTTGTAACGTAACTGAGGATGTAACAGTGTAAGTATTACTAGAGCAGTTTGCACACAGTGGCCATGCTATTTCAGTTTTGTCCCTTATCCACACTTGCATGTGCCACACCACTGCAGTTATACTGTCCTCTGTCTACTTATGCCAGAGTTTCCAGATATTTGCAAATCAAATGCAAGTGATCTGCAATAAAAAACTTTTAGCAAACAGATATTTTTTGAAAAAGTAAATAAATCTCTAGGAGCGTCCATTCAGTCACAGCCCTCTGTGCAGACTGCCAAAAGGGTAACAGTTGTGATGACAGCCTTTGAGATACCTGATCACTAGGAACTACACCAATCTATGGATTTTACACAAACCACAGAAAAGTGGTTACATAGCAACAACTTTAGGTCACTCAAGCGGAGGCAGATCTGAACTGCCGACTTAGATGTGAAAGAGGTCTGCTTCCCATTGCTACTCCATACTCTTCCCCACCATTTTAAAAGTCACTTGGGAATCTAGAGCAAGTGTTACCCCTTACCTGTATGGACGTAATGGAAGCTGAATGGCCCTGCAGCACTGCAACTGGTGCACAGGTTCGTAGACACCATACTCTGACTACCTTATCACAGCTGCCTGCAGCCAGCAATGTGTTTTCATAGTTAACAGCCATGTCAGAAATTTCAGCTGAGTGTCCTCGCAACGTTGAGAGCAGACGACCGTCATCTGTAGCCCAAATTTTCACCAAACAATCATCTGAGCCCTAATGTTACACAAACACAAAGATTAGGCAAAGATATTTCCATACATTTTAGACAGACGAGCATCCAAAACAAAAACACAACAGTCGCTGGGCCATGACTGTAAGAAATGACTACAGGAGGGCTCCAATGAGCGAAAGAGATTAGCTTGTGGATGCCTTTGCACGATCAGGACTTTAAATATTTCTTTAAAATGACAAAATTATCTGAACATAGAACACAAAGTGAAGACTACCAATGTTAATATTACCTTCTGCAATATTATCAGGTCAGCAATAACTGAGGAACATACAAGAACCTAACACATAGATTTTGAACTCATTTATTCTATGTAATAAAATCATATACACATCACATTTGTGGAAATGATCCATATCTGATAGACTAAAGACCCATGTGAAGTTTCAGAGCTATGTCATAGATACGTTTAACATGAACCTTTGTCTAAATACGTTTAACATGCATCTCTGCTCAATAATCCATCCCTACCAGGATTCTAACATTCCAGCCTTTGAGCCGTTTCATACACCTTCAGTTTTTTAAATGAAACTTCAAATGTGGAATTTCTCCAACCAAATTACACCAACCAAGATCTTGGAATAAGACTCAGCCCTGAACCTCTGATAGTTTTTCAATACACAGCAATGTCATGGGACCCCAACAGCTTACACTGACTAGCTGGAGCGAAGGTCATTCAACTCTTCTGTAAACAGGACCAACAATATTGCACACACCTCCGACCAGTAGAAAAAGAGCTTCAAACCCTTAGAAGAGGACTCACTTCTAGTTCTGATAGAAACTGTGGACTTTAAAATCATGACACTTTTATATACAGAAAAGCATTTAAGGTTGGGAGGTGGTTTTCATTTGGTTGGTTTTAAAATGGTTCTCTTGGCTCCCCCTGAACTGAGTAAGATTTAGAGATTTACCAAGATTTAGAGATGCAATGATACACACACAAAAACAGCCACAACAAGATGTTTTAAAAACTCTTTAAAAAGAGTTTAATATAGGTTAGTGTTGTGTGCTACAAAAGGTTTTATGACAACACAACATGCTCATGGTCTCACCATCCAGGAATGACATGGCCATCCCAGTCTCATGCCAATGAAGCCTTTATCCAAACCACATCACCCCATATGACACAATTTACATAGACACACTTTGAAATAATGGTCCAAATGCAGTTCTATCATAAGCAGGTGTAGTTCTATGAAAGCTAATGGAGAAAAAGCTGCTCACCAGGACTGAATTTGGTCTTTAAGGTAGTGTGAATAGGATTTCTCTTCTTTTTCATCCTTCTGACATGTAAGTACAGTGAATCCCAGGTATACTGAATTTGTTAAACACCTTTTTACCCAGATTAAACAAATACCATTACATATTATACTGACTGCAAGACTTGACTTTACACTCAAAAAAACCTCTGTGATAGAAACTGTAACATAACCACTTAGGGCTCAGCAGAATTTATGGCCCTGTACACCACTGAGATAGCATAATCTAGACACTAATACCCATCAGAAAAGTCCCTTGGTGCAGGAGAATTCTCTGCTGGGCATTACTGTGTTGGATCCAGGTCTGTGCCTCTGCCTCCCCAAAGCTCTGCTCAGCACAGGAGAGAATCTTGCCAGTACATTTTTAAAAGTATAACCCAATATGCTAACACAATTGAACATAATGTGAAGTGTAATGGGGATTTACATTTAATTCCACTTAAGTGAATACAATTTCAGAGATAAATGTATTACATGACTGCATGTAATTGTAGCTGGGAATACAGGCAGAGAAGAGAAAGAAGATTAATATAAAAACAGAAGGGTTTGTATTGATAATGTATATGTTTTTTCTATGGTGGGGGGAAAAAGCTGCCTTTGAACATGGAAGTACAATAAAAACCTTACAAATTCACATTAACAACTGCAAGATACACTGTGGATTATCAAATCTTGTGGATTAGCAAGTGAACACACAAAAGGCAAGGAATAACATCACAAAATATATTTTGTTCATTTATTTTAACTGTTTCAGTTTAGTTTTTTTTATACTTCACAGTATGCCAATAAATGTATGAGAGTAGGTTATTTTTTTTAAGCTAGATAACCTTAATAATGAAACTTTAGTAGTAAGAGACCTCACTACAGCCTCTGCTATCTAGTTTTTAGATAAGACATAAGGGAAAGACTGCCAGTTTTTCAAAGCGTGTAGCTTAGCAAAATGCAGGCTAGTGAGGGACTTCCGTGGACGGTTTAAAAACAAATCAAACTCACTCAAGTAAGACACATCTGAAGTATTTCCAAACCCCAGAATATTAAAGGAATCTGGCACCAGTGAGCAAAAAGCTGGTAAATATAATACATATTTACTGATACAAGTCACAGAGCTTTGAGCTGTAGGCAACTCTCCTATAGTTCTATGTAGGGAAGTGGATAGTTGACTAATAGTTTCAGTTGCCTGTCCACTGATGCTGTGAGCTGTTCTAAAAAATACAAAGACAAAACAAGTATGCTACACAGACTCTAAACTTGGGAAGGTGGAAATTCTGGGAGAGGTAGTGTAGAAAGAGTTTAATTTCTAAGCCTTTCATAACCTTTGTTTTTATTTCTTCCTGGATGACAAGTTCATTCTTTGTAAGCCAGGAAAAGCTGTTTAGGGCATCAAGAGAAATAAAGAATAAAAACAAACATCCAGTGATCCAAGATATTATAATTTTTAAACTCACTGTGAAAATTCGCCTCCCACTGCGGTCAAATGCTACACAATATACAGATGATAAGTGCCCCAGAATCCTCTTGTGCATCTTCATATGTTGATAGTTGGATGATGGGAACAAATGGTTGAAGCGTCCATATCCAGTTAATTGCTTGGCAGAAATTATATTTACTGGGGGGGGAAAAAACAAAAAAACCCAATCATCTCCTAAGACCTTGTTTGGCCTGGGTTTCAAGTCAATTTAAATATATCACGTTAGGAAAGTATGATTCTACAGCTTTTTAAGACTGACTATCCCATTTTTTACATATATCTGTACATCATTTGTACTATGGAACCCCAATCCTGATTGAGGCCTCTGAGGGTTATTCTAATGCAAATAATAAGAACAGCAGCTCACACTGGCAAAAATTAAGGCACAAAAATAAAAATAAAGTCAGCATATTTTTAATCAGACGGGGGGGGGGGGAGGAAGCTGCAGACCATAATTACAATCCTTTCTGTGCTTCTCATATTCAACCATCCTTCTAAGAAACAGCTTAGTTGTGTTATTAAGCAAAAATTAATCATATGGAAATATCAAAGAGAAACAAGAATGAACAAAAATCAGACCCAGATAAATGAAAAGTGGAGAACCAGAAAGAGAAACTTAAGATAAATTTTTAGTTGTGTCACCACCACTGGCTTTCTGAGAAGAATAAGAAAGGGTCAATGGTAAAAATGAAGCAACTGTGTTTAATGCTGTAGGCAAGTCAACATGTAATTCATCAATAAAGATGAACAACACTAAAGCAACAAACACAGGGAGAATTTTCCCACCCTTAACTTACATTTTGTAGATAAGAGAAAAATTCCTGAAGATCAAGAAAAAGTACAAAAGGGATCTTTATACCTGTGCAGACAGGAGCACTCACAATGGCTCTCTTGCACATTTTAAGAAGCTACCACCTTAAAGCTGAATGGATGCTCCTATTTTTAATTTTTAAAATTACCACATTCCATAAATCGCTTTTAACACAAACACCAAAACAGTAGCAAGAAGCAATTTTCAAAGTGAGTGCTGTTATTTAAAAATAAAGTATGATTGATGTAATTGAAGTACGTGATGGAGAATAAAATAATATGGTGATAGAGAATACTTATGATTACCCTCTGAACGGGCTTGGGCTACTTTTCATAAGTGAAAAGAGCTACCTCCAGGACCCAATAAAATGGCTTCTCCACATACATTTCCCACAGCCTACTGAGAAGGAGCACAGGGCCATTTTCCAGATGGAATCTCTGTTACTCAGTTTCCCTAAGTGACTTGAAAAAAAAAGAAAGAAAGAAAAAAAGACACATGGGAAATCTGTGGTGCAACTGGGAACATAGCCCTGATCTAAGAGGCGTTAGCCCCACAGCTTATCCCCTACATCAATGGTTCTCAACCAGAGGTACATGTACCCCTGAGGATACACAGAGGTCTTTCAGGGGATACATCCAACTTTCAGGGGATACATCCACTTATGTAGCCTGTTGTGAAACTAGTCATCAGGATATTTGACTAGTTTCACAACAGGCTACATAAAAAGCATTAGTAAAGTCAGTACAAACTAAAATTTCATATAGACAATGACTTGCTTATACTGTTTCATATACTATACACTGAAATGAAGGTACAATATTTATAGTCCAATTGATTTATTTTATAATTATATGGTAAAAATGAGAAAGTAAGCAATTTTTCAGTAATAGTGTGCTGTGACACTTTTGTATTTTTATGCCTGATTTTGTGAGCAAATAGTTATTTAAATAAGTTGAAACTTGAAGTACACAATACAAATCAGACACGTGAAAGGGGTACAGTAGTCTGGAAAGGTTGAGAGCCACTACCCTAGATCAGTGCCTCTCTCACAAAATTACTTCAAATGTCTTTTTTTAGACCAACTAATAACACTTTGGTAGAGTACTGCAAGTTCTATTTACATAAAATACTAAATAAATAAAAAGCACTACTATTAGGCCTTTTTTTTTTTTTTTAAGATGAGGTAACTAAGGAACAAGAGGGTGAGTGACTTGGCTGGGAAACACTGTGGCCTAATGGAACAGGCACTGGCTGTAGAACCAAACGGTGATCAGAGTTCCAATCCTGGGTTTGGCGCTTTATTTCCTATTGTTTTCAGTATATTTTTTAAACCAACATTCAGGACCACAAACTCAATTGGTGTCTATCAGTATCGGCAAACTTACACCAGCTAAAGGTCTGGTCATCACAGCTTCGATAGGGTTTTGTTGTGCATACATGGCTAATGGCTTCGAAAAGAGCTCCCAACAGGATGCTGTGGCCAGAAAGGATGCATAAACAGGTGAATCTCGAGTAGAAGTAGAGAGTTTATTTTACCTCTGTATTTGGTAATGATGTGACTACTACTAGAATACTATGTCCAGTTCTGGTGTTTATAATTTAAGAAGGATGTAGATAAATTGGAGAGGGTTCAGAGAACAGCCATGAAAATAATTGAAGGATTAGAAAACACGCCTTAGAGTGACAGACTCAAGGAGCTTAGGAGGTGACTTGATTATAGTCTATAAGTATCTACACGAGGAATAAATATTTGACAATGGGTTTTCCAACTAGCAGAGAAAGGCATAACACAATCCAATGGCTGGAAGTTAAAGCTAAAAAAATTCAGACTGGAAATAAGACACACACATTTTTAACAATGACTTTAATTGGAACAAATTTACCAAGGGCTGTGGTGAATTCGCCATCACTGACAATTTTGAAAATCAAGATTGTATGTTTTTCTAAAAGATATGCTCTACCAATTATTTTGGGGGAGTTTAAGGCCTATGTTATATAGGAGGTCAGACTAGATGATCACAGCGGTCCCTTCCAGCCTTGGAATCTATGGTCTACAATGCAATTAAAAACCCATGGCTGGCCTGTACCAGCTGACGCAGGCTAAGGGGCTGTTTAATTGCAATGTAGCTGTTCGGGCACAGACTAGACCCTGAGCTCTAGGACACTGCAAGGTGGGAGGATGCCAGAGCCCAAGCTCCAGCCCAAGCCCAAACGCCTACAATGCAATGAAACCTCCCCTTAACATGAGCCCTACGAGCCTGCGTCAGCTGGCACGAGCCAGCCATGAGTTTTTAATTACAGCCTAGACATACCCTATGAATTTAAGATTATCTTATCAAGTGACCGTTGAAGGGCGAAGGTCTCTTCTGTAGCCACTATTAGCGCCTCTCACTCCTTTAGTTTAATTATCTGGTGAACTGTTTGTCCCATTTATAATTTGTTTTTAATTTTATCATCCTTTAGCTATGTACACAAAAGATTATGAAAGACTTTTATAAAACCTGGGGGGAAAAATACAACATTTCAGAAGCCAATTAAGGTTGCTAACTGACTAGCTAGTCCAATAAAAGATACTCCTCACCCACCTTGTCTCTTTATGCCCTTTGGGACCAACACAGCTACAACAACACTGCACACAACCGTATATATATACATGCCTATCTCATCATTTACAAATCGCAAACGCATAGAAGCAAGGTAATAAACAAAGGAAAACTGTCTGGACAACAAAAACGTTGTTTTCAAGTATAAAGAAATATTTATTTCATATCAGACAACTTTTTTCTAGATGAGTAGTGTTTTGACATTAGTGATAAAAAATGGAATTCATTTTACTTCAGAGTTATCTATAGTAAGTGCACATTACACACAGTGATCACCCTCAAATACAAGTCCACAATATAAGTAACATAATTTTACCATCTATCAACTTACACTTTACCTATTAAAAAACATATTCAACTTTCTTCTCAGGAAACAGTTAGTACTATGCCAAAATATTAACTGATATTTTCCATTTAACTGTACCTGGGAACATTGTGTTTATTAAGTAGGCAATGTAAGAATTATGTCCTTAACTATTAGAGTATCTTTTCCCCCCCATTACGTAGTGCATAGAGGTTCTATTGTGCTAGGTGCTGCACATACATAGGAAGGGCTTGCCTACACACAGTTTTTGTACTATTTTCACTATATCAGTTTCTAAACCTATATAGTTAAAGCAGTACAACCCCCTATTGTGAGCACAGTCATACCAGTATAAAGGTGCAGTCCTTTAACCATGACCATTCTTCCTTGCTTTTCAGTGCTTGGGTTTTGTAAATGAAATGATTGATAACAACGTATTTGCCTTTCAGCAATTTAAAACGGCTTTGCACCAGAGTTTTGTTTAACATAGAAGTTTTAAAAGATTTAAGAGTAGCATGAACCAGGAAGTTTCACATACGTGTCAAAATATGCTCACACACACAATATCTTTCCTGTACTATAAATTCCACAACCCTTTTCTCACCGTGCTATTAATTTTTAAATTAAATACACCAGAAGCCCTATTTTATGAAAAGTAGTACATGCTTTATTTTGTTAGGTTAAAATTTTCAAAAGCATCTGTGTGACTTATTTTGAAAATGTTAGCACCATCCCCTCCCCTCCTCCACATTTGCTATACACAACCATCAGGGAGATTTTCAAAGGCACAAACAGCAGTGAGGTGCTGAACTCCAATTGAAAGTCAATGACAGTCTGGGATCTATCTCCCCCCTTATAATCCTAGGTTTATTCTCAGGTTTGCAATTGGCTCGCACCTTGACCACGTGAAAGAGCCTTTAATTTCTCTCTGCCTCCACATGTAACATGGAGATACTACTACTTCCCTACTTTAAGTGGATGATCATGAAACTTTAATATATTCATGTTTGTAGAGTTCTTGGATATCTTTGAATAGAAAGTGCTATAGAAATATCAAGTATTATTGGACCATTAAACAAAAAGACAATGGTACTGAAGTTAGCAAAGCTGAAGTGTTCAGCACACTGGATTTCCATTTTTTTTTAAAAAAAGCAGCCAACATTAACACACGCATACCACAAAACACACAAAAATTAGGCTGTGAGTGGTCTTCTATATTCTTATATTTCAGTAAATTACTTCTTTCAGGTAAATTGCAAACCAAAATATGCAATTCCAGCTCTCACATCTTTCAGTGGAAGATTAAAACAAGTTTAGATATAACAAGGAATTGCACACATGCGCAAACACATACTCACCAAAAAGCCTTTCTGAAGGCTGGTTCCTTTAGTACAATGATGTTATTGTGCTTAGAATGCCT